AGGTAAGCAGAAGGACGGAGCCTCCGAGGTGTAAAGAAAATAGTCCGCTTGCTGCCTGGTCCCACTCGTTTGTTTTAGACCCCTCTTTGTTTTGCTGTCAGCTGACGGATCCCCCGACAGCAGAGCCAGATCTCGGGACCTCATGATGTGGGGAAGCCTGTGAGGTAAGCAAGCTGTTTCTCCCCCCCACCCCGCCTCGGCTGGGCCTGAGGGAGGGGTGGTCTTTTGCGGAGCCAAAGCTGGAAGGGGGTGGGGAGCAGCTCTTGCAGGAGAAGCCTTCAGCTCCAAACTCCCCACCCCACTAGCTTGTACATGACCTTTCTTCGGTGTCCTCTGGGGACCCTCAATCATTAGAAGCCAAGGCAAGAGACAGATGTTTGTGGATCCCTTGAGGGGACACCTCTATCCCCATCTCCTCCTCACAAAGCAATACAGTTGTCCCTTGGAAGTCAAGCAGAATCTGTTCCGGGAGGTCCATTCAACGTCCAAAACGTTCAGAAACCAAATTGCGGCTTCTGATTGGTTGCAGGAAGCTCCTGCAGCCAATCGGAAGCCCCGCCGGACATTTGGGTTCCAAAGAACGTACGCAAACCGGAACAACCACTTTCCGGGTTTGCGGCGTTCGGGAGCCAAAATGTCCTAGTTCCAGGGCATTCAACAACCAAGATACGACTGTACTTGTGCCCCCGACCCCTGCTTTCCCTCCTCCCTGGGTTCTCCCTTATCCTCCAAGTGGGGCCATGAGCTTCACCCTTTGAGCTGTGGTACGGCAAGAGGTGAGTTTGCACCTCCCTGGCTTGGCTGGGGCTTGTAGGACGCAGAATCACAACCCCCCATGATTGTGTGGGTTTCACTTCCTGGCATGAACTCCTGTCTGGGTGACAGTGAAAGCAGGTTGGCACAAGGACCCCCAAAGAGACGGCTTTTCATCCATGTGGCCCTCGCTCCCCAGCTCTGGCCACTTGGCACAGGATCGTGCTGGAGTTGGGACTCCAGCCGGCAGCGCGGCCTAATGGTCAGAGATCCCTGGAGTTGGCCAGGTACAGAGAGCTCTCACAGGTGCTTTGAGGGAAGGAAGAGGAAGCAGATGACGAAGGGGGTGACCCGAGAGGGAAAGAAGCAGGAGTTTTCCCTAGTGGTTGCTGTTTCTGCTGCCGCACGGTCTTCCCACACGTAGCAGCAGCGTAGGGGAATAAAGCGGATAGAACAGTTTTTATCCCTCCCTTGGAAGTCATGGTCATCCACAGAAGCTGGATGCTGGAAGATTGAGGGCAAGGTCCTTCACGCAGCACACAGTTAAACTGTGGAACTCCCTTCCACAGGAGGCAGTGATGACCACCAACTTGGATGGCTTTAAAAGGGAATTGGACAGATTCATAGAGGAGGCGGCGGCTGCAATAAGCCATGATGGCCATTACTCTGCCTCCTGGGAGGCAACAATGCTTCTGAATACCAGTTGCTGGAAACCACAGGAGGGGAGAATTGCTCTTGAACTCATGTCCTGTTTGTGGGTTTCCCAATGGGGAATGGCTGGCCACTGTGAGAACAGGATGCTGGACTAGATGGGCCATCTTCAGCCTGATTCAGCAGGCTCTTACTCCATTCCTTAGGAGAAAATGCTTTTAATGCGTAACTCCCAGTGATTGCTAAAAGGAAGCTGCTGCAGCGTACAAACCCAACCTGCCAGGGGGAAGGGCAGAGCGGAGGAGGCAGGTGAGCAGGGATTGGGTGGAGCAAGTGAGCTCCCTGCTGGCTATGTGAAAAGTGAGAAGCTTCAACAGCCGGTCTTCTCCATCCTCCAGACATCACCAGAGTTCAGGGATGCATCCCAGCCAAGAAATGAAACTTTGGAGCAGGGCTTAGGGATAACCTTGAGGGTTAGATTGGAGCCTGGAGGGCGACTTTTGACTCCTAAGATATCTGTAGGCCCTGGGGAGTGGGGCTTGAGATCTCATGGAGCACCAAGGAACATCACGAGTGCCTGAGAAATTAAAACAGCTTTTAAAATTGGTGCCTGTGACTGTGTGTTTTGCTTCCCTGTCCCCCATCCCCTGCTTCCATTGACTGCTGGCGGTGAGAGGGGACACCCCACCCCCCGCACCCGCCGTGCCCCATGCTTCTTTGGCCTGAAACAACTCTCCTGTTTTCGTAGCCCGGTGGCTGAGAATTATCTGCACCCTTCCCTAAACCGTGTTCTTTATTATTACAGTGGTACCTCAGGTTACATACGCTTCAGGTTACATACGCTTCAGGTTACAGACTCCGCTAACCCAGAAATAGTGCTTCAGGTTAAGAACTTTGCTTCAGGATGAGAACAGAAATCGGGCTCTGGCGGCACAGTGGCAGCAGGAGGCCCCATTAGCTAACGTGGTGCTTCAGGTTAAGAACAGTTTCAGGTTAAGAACAGACCTCCGGAACAAATTAAGTACTTAACCCGAGGTACCACTGTATTGTGTTTTCCTCCAAGCAGCTCATCAAGGTGGCGTACATGGTTCTCCCCTTCCTCATTTAATCCCCACAACAACCCTGTGAGGGAGGTTCGGCTGAGAGGCAGTGAGCTTCGTGGCTGAGTGGGGGATTCGAACCCTAGTCTCCCAGGTCCTGGTCTGACACTCTTTAACCACAACACCACTGCCACCACTGGCTCTTGTGGGGGGGAAATAGCTGTGTGTATGTTTCCAGGGTTGGGCAGTACCTGTTGGCTGGGGCTGATGGGAGTTGTAGTCTGAGGACACCTGGGGGGGAGATAACAGGCTGCCCTAGAGCATGCCCTGCACCCCCCGCCATCATATGTGTGCCAGATTTAAGGTGTGCCAGAAAGGAAGCACCCCAAGTACAGTCTGCAACAGGTTAAGTCACTGGAGCATCAGCCTAGTGACGCAAAAGGCCTATCAAGCCTTCTGCCTTGAAACTGAGAAGAAACATCAGTTTGGCCTTGTGTTTTTGTGGCCTCCCCCACCCCCCAGCTCCTGCAGGGTTGGACCCAAAGATGAATGCAGACGTCAGGACAAAAAGATCAGCCCCCCCCCATCTAGCCTCCCCGCTGTCAAATGCAGGAACTACAACCCCAAATTCCAGGTTCCCTACCTTGGGACAAGAACCCAGCATGGTGTGTTTGGGTGGGCAGGGGGAGTCCCAAAGCCTCGTAACACTTCTCCCCCCACCCCCGAAATAACCCTTCTTTGGTATGTGAAGAGGTGGGGGGAAACTGCCTCCTAATATTTTAAAAGAGCTGTAATTTATAGAGCATTTTTCACTCTATATCTCTGAAATTTGGAAGAGTGAATTTTATAATGTGATGCCAGGGAGAATTACTGGAACCACCACCTCTTGGCTTGGATTAAGCAGATCCGTCCTTCCGATAGGCTGATTGCTGCTCTCTTCTTGAACATTGTAAGAAATAGCTTACCGTAAAGACATTTTAAGGATGTGACCCTCTGCACATTTTAACTTTGGAGTCTACTGATGAACTCTGCGGACCTTGTTTCTAAGTAAACACGGATCCTATAGGTCTCCGTTGCCCCTCTTAACCTACAGATTGTTACTGTTGTTAATTATTATGATTAATTAACATGTATGGCCCACTCTTCACTAGCAGGTCCCAGGGCAGCTTAAGCGAAAATTCTGAATTAAAAATAGTTAAAACAGATGGCAATCGCAGGAACAGGCTGGGCCCTGGAACACAAGGGCCCCTTCCCCCAATTTCAGCTGTGCGTTTTACAAAATGTAGAATAGTTAAAATGCACTTTCTCCTCTCGCATTAAAGTTCCCTAGGTGGGAAGAGAACCAAAAGTTGACCGAGTTCCTGGGCAGATTCAGGCTTCAGGACAGATTAAAAAAAAGAACTTACTCATGCAGCACATATCTGACTTATAGGAGGCAGTGATAGCTACCAACTTGGATGGCTTTAAAGGAAGATGAGACAGATTCATGGAGGAAAAGGCTATTGATGGCTACTAGCCAGGATGGCTCTGTTTTGGCTCCTGGAGGAGAGAGGGCTCTGGGGCTCAAGTCCTGCTTGCAGGTTTCCTCAAAAAAAAAACCAAACAAAAAACGACCCGTGCAGGCAATAGCTTATAAAGGTAAAGGGACCCCTGACTATTAGGTCCAGTCGTGACCGACTCTGGGGTTGTGGCGCTCATCTTGCTTTATTGGCCGAGGGAGCCGGCGTACAGCTTCCGGGTCATGTGGCCAGCATGACTAAGCCGCTTCAGTGCACGGAAACGCTGTTTATCTTCCCGCCGGAGCGGTACCTATTTATCTACTTGCACTTGGACGTGCTTTCAAACTGCTAGGTTGGCAGGAGCAGGGACCGAGCAACGGGAGCTCACCCTGTCGTGGGGATTCGAACCGCTGGCCTTCTGATCGGCAAGTCCTAGGCTCTGTGCTTTAACCCACACCACCCGTGTCCCACAGCTTATAAATCACTGCAATAAGATTTGTTCCAATGGCATTGTTTGCAATAAAAACCAACTGTTTGGGCGTCAGTAGGGAGGCTTGGTCAGTTGCCAACAGAAAAAGGATGCATAAATGAAAAAGTGAACGAGGTGAAACAGATAAATACTGGAAATCTCTATAATTTATTGGAGAAGCAAGTTTTGTACAGGGTGAGTCTTTTAAAAGAGGCCCCGTGGAACATGTGTACTCTGTATCCACGGGGCCTCTTTTAAAGGACTCGCCCTGTATAAGCCTGTGAAAATGACAAGGAAAAGTTTTATTTATGGAGAAGCAAGTTTTAAAACGTGGAAAGCTCCCGGGGGATCAAATTTTGTTGGAACAAATCTTACTGCTGTAATTTATAAACTGCTGCCTGCATGGGTTGTTTTCTCTTTCCCCCCAAACTCACACATGCAGTTCCTGAGTTTGATGGAGGTTTCCTAGAAGAGTCACCAGGTTGGCCACTGTGAGAAAAGAATGATGGACAAGGGAGGCCCTCGGCCTGATCCAGCATGTTCTACATTTGTCCAGGCGCAGTGGGAATAAACCAAGACACACGGGTCGAAAGGAGATTTACAAACATGTATTGTTTTTACAGTGCGGCCTGAGTTCCCAACAAAAGTGAGGCAGGGTTCGGGTGAAGTCAAGGGGCTGGATCTGTTCCGGGCAGCTTATGCCAGAGTGGGGCTGTGGAAGCAAACGGCCATTCTGCTCCCAAGCTGACGCACGGCCACTGCGGGTGGAGTGGGGGGTTTGGAAGCCCCACTCACAGCTGTAGATGCTTCAGGTGCAGCTGGAAGATTTCCTCGGCCCTCTGGAGGTACTCTGCTGTCTTCTTCTTCACAGCCTCCCTGCGGGCTGTGTCAGGGTCCCCTGAAAGAAGGGAGGAGCAGGTCTTGGCTGATGGCTACAACCCTCCCGGCAACAGAAGGGTGGGAGGGCAGTGGCTTAGCAGTTAGAGCAATCTGCCTTGCATGCCCAAAGCCCAACAAAGACGAGTAACAGGACAGATGAAATTAAGTACATAGTCAAACCTCTGGAACTCACGTCTGCAGCAGGCAGTGATGACTAGGGCTGGGCAACATCTGGTTTTCATCATTGCGATATATCACCAGCTAAGCATCGCAATATACCGATATATCACGATGTCTGAAATAAGCTTGGAGCTATGTAGAGGCATTGGACGGGCTCCACGTGTTTTTACCGCATTGTGATATTTGCATTGCGCGCCCACATGTCGTGATTCACGATAAATTGGCAGGTCAAAAATTATGAAACCATTTCCCCCCCTTATTTTTGAGGTTTCTTCTTGCAATCAACCAGTATATAAATCTTTTGAAATAAATAAAGGAGATTAAAGTGAGGGGGGGCAGGATCCCCTCAGAGACCTTGAAAAGGCAAAGTTTACAGCCACGTTTACTTGGAAGCAAGCCTCAGCGAGTTGAAATGGGCTGACTTCCTAGAAGCCACATGGACTTGTGGCTCTGACTCTTGGAGACCAATTCCCAGGCCCTCCACATGGGGAAAAGCCAGGTGTCTAGGGGGAGGGGAGCTGGAATATAGTTTGGGGACCAGGCATCGCCCGCTACCTTGCAGTCCCTGCAGCAAGAGGTCAACGCCGCTGCGGTAGCCACAGAAAGCCTCCTTGTAGTCCTTGGCAGCTTCACTCTCCAAGGCCTGCCTGATGCGCTCTGTGGCCAACGGCAGGTAACTGCCTGGGTCCGACGCAGCAGCTCCTTCCTGGGCCCCCTGGCCCGCTCCTGCGCTGGGGGCAGAAAGCGCTGGTCCATGTCCCGAGGCAGCGAGAGCAGCCAGCTCTTCCTCGTGGGAGAGGCTGGCTGCACCGGGGTCTGGGCAGAACAGAGAAAAATGTCATTTATCTATTAACTTATAAAAACATTAGTACACCACTGCAGCTTTTGAAAAAAAGAAAAGAAAATCACAACGGCTTGCGGCAGTGGTGTCCAAACTTTTTTTAGGGTTGAAGTTGTTGAGGGTTTTTTTTTAAGGATTTTACCCCTGGGGCCGGATTAGGACCCCAAAACCTTGGACATGCCTGGCTTACGGCAATAAAACAATAAAACCGTACAATGAATCTATTTAAAAGTTAAAAACAGATCTCAATGAACCGTTGCAGAACGATGCACTTTTAACTGCCTACACAGATACAGTGGAATAGAAAAGTCTCCAGCAGGCATTTAAAAGTTGGCACAAAAGGCGCCTGCTGAATCTGTAGTGGCAGAGAGTTCCACAGGACCGGGCCAACAACACTGAAGGCTCAGGTTCTTCTTGTTGTCAAATGAGCCTTGCAGCTCTGGGAATAACCAGCGACACTCCTGCAGATGACCTCAGTGGTCAAACTGGGATATAAGGGTCCAAGTGGTCCCTGCAGTACCCTGGACCAAAGTTGTTTTGCAAAGCACATTGCAGTAGTCCAGCTTCACATACAGTGGTCAGGCTATCCCTGACCAGGAACGGCCATAGCTAGCAAACCAAGGAGGACGATTTGGCCCCTAAGATGTAACCAGGAGTACCCTGCAAGCCATGTGCTTGCTCCATCCAGAATACTTCCCACTGCTGAGTATCATGGCAACAGTACAGAAAATTAAAAATCTCAACAATGCAAATTGCTTGCTGCTCATCTTCCTGGAACCGGATCAGTGTTCAGAAGTGGGGAGGGACACTGCAACTTGGCTACCTATATCCTACATGGTCCAGGGGCCCCCTCTCCGCCGCTTGGCGTTTGAGCCCACCTACCTTCCTTTGAGAAGGGATCAAACAGGGCTAACTCCTGGAGCGACAAGGGGCCGCGGGAGGGCGACCCCAGACCCTTCTCGCCTTCCTCCTCTTCATCGCCGCCAAAAGCAAAGAGAGCATCCAAGGCCTCATCGTCACACTTCTCGGGTGAGGAGGGCCTCCCTGTGGAGGGGACACTGATCAGTGCAAGGCATTGATAACCCCAATCCAGAAAACGTCTAGAGCAGGGGTCAGCAAACGTTTTCAGCAGGGGGCCAGTCCCCTGTCCCTCAGACCTTGTGGGGGCCCGGACTATATATATTTAAAAGAACCAATTCCTATGCCCCACAAATAACCCAGAGATGCATTTTCAATAAAAGCACACATTCTACTCATGTAAAAACACTAGGCAGGCCCCACAAATAACCCAGAGATGTATTTTAAATAAAAGGACACATTCTACTCATGTAAAAACACACTGATTCCTGATTTAGAAGGTGATTGGGCCGGATCCAGCCCCCAGACCTTAGTTTGCCTACCCATGGCCTAGAGTGACAAGGCTTTGCAATGGCCCACTCAGCACTCGGACTCAAATGGGCTACAGAGGTGGTCCTGGCCAGACTGGGGGAAGGAACGGCACGCTCTGGACATGTGCAGGGCCTTTAGGATCTTCCACAGGTGCACAGAGAAAATGCACCAGTCAGAGGTCAGATTGTTTCCCCTCCTATCCAGTTCCAAGAGGCATAAGCCCCCCCCCCCATTTGTCATTGTAACGACTCACCTTCATGAGTCTTTACAAGCTAAGCCTTAGCCGAGGCCTCCTTTGGGAGGTGAACACCATAAAAGGTACAGCCTGCGGCAGCTCACATCCAGTCTGGAAACTGCTGAGATAAATCCCATATAGGCTGCGTTACAGCAGTCCAGGCAGGAGGTCACTAGAGTGCGGACAACTGGGGCCAGGATGTCCTGATCTAGGACTGGCTACAAATCTGGCTCAGCTGGGTATCGTCAGGGATTGGACTCAAGAGGGCGAGATGGATCATTCCCCCCACCCACCCCCTTTATGACGCTGCAGGAGAAGAGGGATGTAGAATCGATTTATAGCAGGAGTTTGTGGAAAGTCACAGCCAGATGAACAGAAGAATGGGAAGGGCTAGAAGAAGGGGGGTGGGAATTCTGGCAGGGCAGCCAAGTGACACGTCATTGGAGGGTATTTCTGATCCCCCTTCTCCCAGAACTTGGCGGGCAGGAACAAAGGAATCAAATACGTTTGACCACAAGCGGCCACCGTAAAGGGAGATGCTGTTGCTAGGAAGGAGGCGGGAGGAGCCCAGTTTGGAGCAACGCCATTGTTAAGGCTTGCTGCGTTCTTTTGTCTCTCACTACAGTGGTACCATGGGACGCAGGTGGCACTGTGGGTTAAACCACAGAGCCTAGGATTTGCCAATCAGAAGGTCGGCGCTTTGAATCCCTGCGACGGGGTGAGCTCCCGTTGCTTGGTCCCTGCTCCTGCCAACCTAGCAGTTCGAAAGCACGTCAAAGTGCAAGTAGATAAATAGGTACCGCTCCTGTGGGAAGGTAAACGCCATTTCCATGTGCTGCTCTGGTTCGCCAGAAGCGGCTTAGTCATACTGGCCACATGACTCGGAAGCTGTACGCCGGCTCCCTCGGCTAATAAAGCAAGATAAGCGCTGCAACCCCAGAGTTGGTCACGACTGGACCTAATGGTCAGGGGTCCCTTTACCTTTTTACAGTGGTACCTCAGGTTAAGTACTTAATTCATTCCGGAGGTCCATTCTTAACCTGAAACTGTTCTTAACCTGAAGCACCACTTTAGCTAATGGGGCCTCCTGCTGCTGCCACGTCGCTGGAGAACAATTTCTGTTCTCATCCTGAAGCAAATTTCTTAACCCGAGGTACTATTTCTGGGTTAGTGGAGCCTGTAACCTGAAGCGTATGTAACCTGAAGTGCATGTAACCCGAGGTACCACTGCATTATGATTGTAAAACTCATTAAAAAGGGCTCTACCTTGTTTTCTCTGCTCTTACTGCAACAAGGGGAGGAATAGCTTTCCCGAAACCTTGACAGGTATAGGCACTCCTGGTTGCAAAAGCCACTTGGGAGTCCAGGGACAATTTGGAATCTAGGAGTATTCCCCAGGCGACCAACCTGGCCCTTCAGGGGGAGTGCAACCCCTCCCAGGAAATGCACCTAATTCCTGGACACTGGAACCGCCCAGCCACCACGCTTCTATCCTTACAGGTTTCAGCCTCGGTCTAATGGTCCCCAAGCTGTCCATCACTGCCAGCAGACACCTGCCCTGCCTCCCAGGTGTTTGCAACCAGCATACCTGCTCCCAGTCCCTGGGTGACAGCTCCCAAGGGTTTCATACAGGTGTTAAATAGTGTGGGAGACAGGCCATGGAGCTGGGTCACCCTCTCCTTCTTTCTGGCAGTGGTCCTGTAGGTAGGGACAGAACCCCTCTGCAAGGCAGCACCATCCATCCCCCACCTGCCCAGATCACTCCAGAAGGACACCAGTATGAGCCAGTGTGGTGTAGTGGTTAAGAGCGGTAGATTCGTAATCTGGGGAACCGGGTTCGCTCCTCCACATGCAGAAGTCTCTCAGCCCCACTCACCTCACAGAGTGTTTGTTGTGGGGGAGGAAGGGAAAGGAGAATGTTAGCTGCTTTGAGACTCCTTCGGGTAGTGATAAAGCGGGATATCAAATCCAAACCAGTGGTGTCAAAAGCCACTGAGAGGTCAAGGAGGACCACCAGGGCCACACGTCCCCTGCCTTCCTTACGTTAAAAATCTTATTCAAATCTCCAGCCAGACCCACTTTTGCCACCGTTGAAATGTGGCCCCTGGAAGGTTATCTACATAAGGTTGTGGCCCTCAGGCTGTTAATAGGTTCAGCTGTTTTAAAACCACCAGCACCCCATCATTGCAAGGGCCCCCACTGCTCCCTCTGCGGATGAGGAGAGGGAGAAGGGACGGGAAAAGAAGAAAAAATGTCTCCTAGTTGTCCTACCCATCTCTTCTCCAAAAATACCCTTATCATGGTCTCTGCTCAAGTAAGGGAAAAAATTAAAGACCATGCCTGAGCATGTGCAGAGTGCCTTTCTCCCCATGAGGAAAACAGAACACAAACTAGATGCACAACTTGTCTCGTTTTATGCCCAAAGCTCTAGAAGACTATACCTTCCTCCTCCGTTCGGGGCTGCAGGGCACCACACTCCTCGCTCGCTGCCTCCGGAGCAACACCAGGGTTCTGCTGCTCCAAATCCAGGCCTCCCTGTTTGGAGTCCAGGAGCAGCTGCTCATCCACAGATCCCAGAGCATCCTCCGCTGGCTCCACTCCTTCCGAGGATGGCGGCACTGGGATCAGAGGGGGAGGCAGAGAGGGCAGGTCGCGGGTCTCCAGAGGTCTCCTCCCCTCCCCACTCTGCAAGACAGAAGCAGCAGAGAGTGGGTCCAAATGTCGGCTGGGCGGGGGTGGGGGTGGGTTCCTTTATTTGAGGACCGGGGCAAAACTTCAGACAAGGACCCAGTGCCACTTTTGCAACCAAGGAGGGACCCAGGAACACAACTCCAAAGATGGCTTTAGCATTTTTGGAATGGTAGTGGCAGTGGGCAGGGAGACCACTTGGAAATTGCTGTGGGGTGTGTGGGGGGGATGTCTTGGTGGGCCCATAAACTATGTGTTTCCTTATTCACACAGCACAGAGTTAAACTACGGAACTCCCTCCCACAGGAGGCAGGGATGGCCACCAACCTGAAGCACCTTTGGAGAAAAAGGTGGGATATAAATAAATAGATGCAGTAAATAAATAAAACCTGCCCAGCCAAAAATACCCGAAAGAACTCCTTCAGCTGAGGGCTGTTATTCAAGGCTGGGATGTCCACAGTGAAGCGTAGCATGACCTCAGCCGCTTTCCGCCGCTCCTCAATCACCTCAGGCTCAAATCGGCCTTCAAATAAGAGGAACAGATTCAAATCATGTGTGTGAGGGGATCAGAGAACACACACACGCACACACCCTCCGCTCTTGTGTACTAGCGACAACGACCCTGAAGCAATGCACAAGAGGCCTCCGTTTTTCCGGCCTAGCAAAAATTCACCAGAACCCAAAACTTTCAGCTGCAGACCCACAAAAATGGAATCTGGTGGGGCTGAACGATGGGAGATTGGGGGCAGGCAAAATGAGGCACACCTTCACATAATTTAGCTATGGAATTTGCTACCACAAGATATTGTGATCCCCCCCCCCAATTTAAATGGTTTTAAAAAGCAGATTACTGGGAATCACAAGTTCAGGTCCTAGACTGGGGCAACCCAGAAGGGTAAGGTACAAGTAATTTATTATTATCCTCATCATTATTATTTTAGCCTCTGGAGCAGCGGGAAGAAAGCTTCCATGTTACAGCCGTTTAGCCACCTTCAAATATCTGAAGGGCTGGCACATGGAAGATGGAGCAAGCTTGTTTTCTGCTTCACCAGAGCGGAGGACTTGAACCAATGGATTAAAATGGCAAGAAAAAAGATACCCCGGCTAAATTAAACATTAGGAAGAACTTTCCGAGGGTAGGAGCTGTTTTGACAGTGGAAGGGACGCCCTCTGAAAGTGGTGAGTTCTCCTTCAATGGAGGTTTTTAAAGTGAGGCCAGGCAGCTATTTGTCAGAGATTCTTTAGCTGGGATTCCTGCATTGCAGAGAGCTGGACAAGATGACACTGGGGGGGAGGGGTGCCTTCCAATTCCATGTTTCCAATTCCATATTTTGCTCGGCTCCTGCTCAGGGGCTTCCCAGAAGGGGCGTCTGGCTGACCCCCATGGGGATGGGATGTCAGATCAGATGTGCCCCTCTTTTGGCTCGACCCAGCAGCTGCCCATCTCCCACCCAGCCGGAGACCCTCACCAAAGACATGAGCCTTGGGGAAGGGGGGGAAATCCTCCAGTCGACGGAAGAGGTTGCGATGCGTGTACGCCAGGTCCCCGTGCAGCTTCTTGAAGTCACTGTACCGTTTCCAGACCACGATCTGAAGGAAGGAAGAGGCATGAGGACCGTGCTTGGAGTGCCCTCTCTCCTGTGGAAGATCTACGAAGCTGCTTCAGAGTCAGACCAATGGCCCACCTACTGCAGCTAAATACTGCCCACACAGTACTGCCCACAGAGAGCCAGTGTGGTGTAGTGGTTAGGAGCAGTAGACTCGTAATCTGGGTTCGGGTCTCCGCTCCTCCACATGCAGCTGCTGGGTGACCTTGGGCTAGTCACACTTCTCTGAAGTCTCTCAGCCCCACTCACCTCACAGAGTGTTTGTTGTGGGGGAGGAAGGGAAAGGAGAATGTTAGCCACTCTGCTTTGAGACTCTTTCGGGTAGTGATAAAGCGGGATATCAAATCCAAACTCTTCTTCTTCACACCAGTAGTTCCCAAACCTTATGGGTCCCACAAACTCCTCCCCGGTGCTCCCTACCCTATCCATCAGAAAGCACTGCTCAGAATAGCACTTTGCATGACCCACTGAGGACAAAATCCCAAACGGCAACCGTTAATTCACATTTGTTCGAAATCCAGTTAAACACCACTTTTGTTTAATTATCTCAACAGAACTGAGGAACCTGACCCAAGTCTGGGAGGTATGTGCACCACCAGCACTCCGGCGTCCTAGAATCACCCTAGGTAATCCCATTGCCCCCGGGTACCACCTGCTTTGTGAAACTTTGTCTTGAGCTCCTTGGAGGCATGACAGGGCAGAAACAAAATGGATAACATTTCTGAAGCGGCTGGCAATGCCCACCCTCCCACCCCGCCTGGGTTACCCAGCAAGGACCTACCTCCTTGACATCTTCTGGGTTCACCTTTGAGACAAACTGGAAAGGGAAGAAAAAGTGAGATTTTGAGCATGAGCAAGGGATTTGCAGCCAGCAAGGGGTACGTGTGTGTGTGTGTGTGTGTGTGTGTGTTGGAGGGGGCACATTCTTTTCCTCCTGCACCAAGGAAGGTGGGGTATCCCTGGGGCATCTTCCTTGGGGTGGAGTGTGAACTGCGATCTCTATGTGCTCCAGAAAACTGCCAGAAAATATTTTTAAAAGATAAACCAACCAGGCATATAGGGAAGAAAAAGCTTCGCTGAAGATCTGTTTCACACACCTATTGGGAGTTCTTTGAGAGGGACAAGCAGCATCTCGATTCATCTGTATTAGACTTAGTATATTTGGGACTTTCGAAAAGCTTCTGATAAGGTACCTCACCCAAGACTCCTGAGTAAGCTTAGCAGTCAAGGAATAAGAGGCTCAAATCCTCCTTACAGGTTTCTCTCTGGGACAACTGGTTGGCCACTGTGAGAACAGGATGCTGGACTAGATGGGCCCACCGTGGCCTGATCCAGAAAGCTCTTCTCAGGTTATCCCAACAGACTCCCCCTACTCCCTGTTTTAGGGGCCCCTGGTATCCAAAGATCTCTGCCATTCCTGAGACACAGCTGAACCCCCAAGGGCGGAGCAGAGAGCAGGGTGTGGGCACAAATGCCAGAGCTGAGGCCCACTCTGGTCCAGAAGGCGGTCCTTATTATTTCCAGGTTAAGGAGAGAGGATGGGAGCTGTTCTTCTACCGGGATGTATTCAAGAGTTCAATGAAACTTACAGGGATGCATGCAGGATTGCAGCCATGTAGCCTGCAATAGTGCTACCTTATACCAAGTCAGACCAACTCAGTACTGCTGACACTGACTGGCAGCAGCAGCTCTTTGGGATTTCAGGGCAGCAGGCAGGGCTCTCTCCCAGACCTATCTGCAGCTCGAACTTGGGATGCTCTGCTTGCCAGGCGGCCGCTTTTTCACCGCGCTACGGCCCTTCCTGTGTGTCTACTCAGACGTAAGCCCCACTGAGCTCAGTTGGGTTTACTTCCAGGTAAAAGCAAGAAGGGAGAACCAGAAGCCCTCTGCAAGGAGAGCAAGCCCACCCTAAGCTGGAAGCCACCGCCCCTTTGCCCGCGCTGAGCTTGCACTCTGCACATGCACAGAGGCTCGACGTCCAGCGAACAGGTGCAGCGGATTCATCTAGGCGGTGAGCATCTAGGCGGCTCCCCAGGTACGGCGTCTCCCCCTCCCTGCAGCAGCCGCTTCCTCACCTTGGCAGTCACTTTGTACTCGGTGTAGCCCTTGGGGTGGCTGCGGTGCTCGGTCACCGTGTAGTGCCGCTGGTACTCTTCCTTCACCCGGCGGGACATCCTGCCGCCCCTCCGGGCGCTGCGGCCCCTTTAAATCCAGGACCGCCGGGCTGGGCGGCTCCTGCCCTCCTTTTGCTCTGGCGCCCGGACTCCCCCCCCGCAGTGCGCATGCGCGGCCCGTTGGCCGCTCCCATTGCCTAATACTCCAGGTTCGAGGGAGCGTCTTCCAAGTGCAAGCCGGGACAGCACGCGTCAGGGCTCCTCTGCAAAGTGCCCGACGCGCATTGCGTCCTGCTGCAAGACTAAGGGAGCAGAATAGGGTGGGGCTCACTGGGCCTGCAGAGTTTATGCTGGACACGTTTTGCATAGTAAGCCTGGAGTGGGCAGTCAATCCTGCGAGAAGGAAGCTCCATCTGTCTTCCAAGGGGACCACGTTTGCAGGAGGCTGAGGCGCCTGAGGTTTAAGGAGGACCAGCTTAAGTTGCTTCTTTAATGAGAAATAGAGGAGCGGGGATTTTTTTCCTGCAAAAATTTGAATATTAAAATTACTTTTTCTTCCTCTTAGACAAATAGTATCACCAACGAAATATGGGCTAGCAGAGGTGTGTGTGTGTGTCCCCCGATTCTTTCCTTTGCATTTTTTGTCATTCCCCTGGATTTCCAGACCATCCCTCTCTCCTCACATTCACCTCCCTTGTTCCTGCCCTGTCATTTACTCTCTTATTCTTATTTACTTGCTATTTAACAAGATGTTATATACCACTCGTAGTAAACCTCTATAAACTGTATACAATAAATATTAAAATTATCAATAATAGTGTTTAATACTCTTAAAAATAATCCAAAGCAACATGTCAGCATCTAGATATCTGGATTGGCCCCTAAAACAGGGAGTAGGGTGTGGGCAAAGGTGGGAGAATCTGAGATAGGCTTGCCTAAATTAAAACGTTTTCAGCCTGCACCCAAAAGGAGGACAGTGAAGACGCACGCTTGCCTGATGTCCGTAGGCAGGAAAATGTAAGCTGCCGCACTAAGTCTGATAGTTTGCAAACATTTTTGCTGCTGTTGTTAGAAAATGTTCCAGGGTGCAGCAGTGGTTTCAGGTTGAGGGGGGAAAGCTCACAACAGTCTTTGGCAACTCTCACCTGGCTTGAGAGCAGTACATGTTAAAAGGATCTAGGAGTCTTGGTTGACCACAAACTTGACATGAGCCAACAGTGTGACGCGGCAGCTAAAAAAGCCAATGCAATTCTGGGCTGCATCAATAGGAGTATAGCATCTAGATCAAGGGAAGTAATAGTGCCACTGTATTCTGCTCTGGTCAGACCTCACCTGGAGTACTGTGTCCAGTTGGCCCAGTTCAAGAAGGACACTGACAAACTGGAACGTGTCCAGAGGAGGGCAACCAAAATGGTCAAAGGCCTGGAAACGATGCCTTATGAGGAATGGCTAAGGGAGCTGGGCATGTTTAGCCTGGAGAAGATGAGGTTAAGGGGTGATATGATAGCCATGTTCAAATATATAAAAGGATGTCATATAGAGGAAGGGAGAAAGGTTGTTTTCTGCTGCTCCAGAGAAGCGGACACGGAGCAATGGATCCAAACTACAAGAAAGAAGATTCCACCTAAACATTAGGAAGAACTTCCTGACAGTAAGAGCTGTTTGACAGTGGAATTTGCTGCCAAGGAGTGTGGTGGAGTCTCCTTCTTTGGAGGTCTTTAAGCAGAGGCTTGACAACCATATGTCAGGAGTGCTCTGATGGTGTTTCCTGCTTGGCAGGGGGTTGGACTCGATGGCCCTTGTGGTCTATTCCAACTCTATGATTCTATGATTCCCCATAGGGTGAAAAGCCAGCTTACTGCTACTAGTACCAATCTATTCTTGCTCTGCCTGACATCTTTGTGAGGACTGCTCTTTGCCATTTGTGGAGGTAAAATTATGCATTTGTTTTTTAGTATTTGGGGGGAAATATTTAAGGTTCCTCACAGGGTTGTTGCACAGGGAGAACCGTGAATTTGCCACCTTGAGCTTTTTGGATAATAAATTAATAATAATGAACGTCTAGAGGGCACCACACTGGCAACCCGTGGCCTAGGGAGCAAGTGAGAAGAAAACCTTGGCAGTTAGATTTCCTCCAGCACAAGCCTGAGGAGATTTCCGTCCCCACACAAGGCAGAGGAATCCCCAGCCATCCATACTGGGACAAAGACAACCAGTCAGGCTGCTCCGGGGCCTAGGAACCTGTCCACTGTGCCAGTCCTGAGAGCCACAACAACAGCTTTATTGGCATGTTCTTAATATGATATGATCCCGTACAGAGAACTGGGGTGTTGGGGAGACCCCGAACATACACCTTCATTGTCCTTCCGCAGGCGGGGCCTGGCTCATGGCCTAGGACAGAAACAAGAGGGGCGCCCCACTCTTGCCCAACATAGCTGAGCAGCTTTCTCGATGAGGGCAGCGCCCAGGAAAGGCCCTTAAAACGCCCAGCAGGGGAAAACAGTTCCAAGTTATTAAGCCACGCAAAGCAGGTGAGCTGGAGGTGTTTGCGCCTGTTTCCCCCTTCTTCCTCTCAGTCTGCGGTGAATATCCGGCTGGATATATCGTCCAGCAGCCAATCGATACCCACAAGCAGGTTCTCCCCAGTGTAGGCGCTGCAGCCTTGAATGCACCAGTGGTGGCTGTGGATGCTGTCGAGATCGAGAGCCTGGAAAGAGGCAGAAAGATTGGGGTGGGGTGAGGGCCACGCATCTGGGAAGCTCAAAGGGAAAGCCTGCAGTGGGCCTTGAAACCAGGCTCAACTGCAGAGGTGGTGGGTAGCACCCAGAAAGGCTACAGGCCAGACACCACGCAGAACAGCCTTCGTAAAGCAGGCTTCTTCCAGATGTTTGGGACTACAATTCCCACCAGCCCTGCGCTGGCTAGGGCTGATGTGCTTCCCGACTCCTCCAACTCCAAAAAATACAGTCGTCCGTAATTTTATGCATTCTTGACTCATCATGGCTTCTTTTACTCTCTTATTTTAAAAGGCACAATTTGTGTGGGTGAAAATTGTGTTGTGTCCGTGCTGTGGTCGTCTAGGTCAGGCATCCCCAACCTGCGGCCCTCCAGATGTTTTGGGACTACAACTCCCATTATCCCTAGCTAACAGGACCAGTGGTCAGGGATGATGGGAATTGTAGTCCAAAACATCTGGAGGGCCGAAGGTTGGGGATGCCTGGTCTAGATAATGCTAGGCCATATCTGATGTTTATGGTCTGCTGGCCAAATAAACTGAGCTGAAATTAACTTCCTCAAAGCCATGAGAGACACCCTCCCACCCTTGGTTTGCCCGGTACCCAAAGCCGCCCCATCTGCTCTCGCCAGGACTGTTAGTGATCCTCACCTCCTGGATGGCGCTGGAGCTCAGGGCCCCAGGCAGGTCCTGCTTGTTGGCAAAGATGAGCAAGGTGGCCCCCGCCAGGCGCTGTTGAGACAGAAACAAAGATGTGACCTAGGAAGGAGGGAGGCTTATCCCAAGTTATCCGATTGTTCCACCAAGCTCAGTATGGTCCACACTGGCTGGCAGAGGCTCTCCAGGGTCCTTCTTGGGAGATGCCAGTGGGAAACGAACCCGGGGCCTTCTGCGTACAAAGCAAGTGCTCTGCCACTGACCTATGACCCTAAAAACAAACTAAGATTCTAGTCCTTGTGGTACCGGGACCTTCTGCAAGCAGAGTATGCATTGCCTACCGTGAGCTATGGTCCTCGTGATTCTAAATAAAGGGCTGATTTAAAGAGGGACACAGGAAGGGGCCTTACTCCAAGTCAGGCCAGTGGGCCAGCCAGCCAGTATCGTCTATGGCAGCCATTTTTGACTACAACTCCCAGTGATCACTGGGGCTGATGGGAGGGCTTGGGGAAGATTGGCCCACCATGACAGGAAGTGGGCAGTGCTTTTTTTTCTGGAGGGATGCAGGGGTACGCATACCCCTAAACATTTTGTGAATCTAAGTTTGGCCTCATTGAGGGGCAGTATTTCAATATGAGTAGGAAAATGAGAGTACCCCTAAACATTTTTTAAGGGAAAAAAAGCACTGGAAGTGGGTCTCCAGAGTTTTACTGTTATTATTTTATTAACCACCTTTCATTAGGGCTGGGCGAAATAACGTCCAAAACCGGTTTGAAGTTCATATTGTCATATTGGGTTTCATAACTTTTGACCTGGCAATATATCACGAATCATGATATGTGTGTGTGTTCTGCAAAAAACACAATGTGGGAAAAACTGCGAAGCCAGCCAATGCTTCTCCATAGCTCCATCCTTATTTCAGACATTGTGATATATCGGTAGTATCCCGATGTTTAGCTGGTGATATATTGTGATGTTGAAAACCAGGTATCACCCAGGCCTACCCTTCACCTTAAGATTCCTGAGCAGGTCGCAACATTAAAACACAACCTTAAATACAATTTAAAGCAGATTGCAAACGTAAGAAAAAGGTGTATCCTAAAAATATACACCTCAGGTGTCAACGGCCAGAGTAAAGAAATGTGTCTTCGGCATTCTCCAAAGCTGTATAATGAAGGTGGCAGTCGCACCTCTGTAGGGAGGGAGTTCCACAGCTTAGGGGCCACCACAAAGAAGGCCCTCCTCTAGGCTGCCACCCCCAACTGAGGCTCTGGGGGTTGAGGAGCTACCAATGGGACCCCCCTCTGCCAATATCAGCACCCGAGAGGGTCTGTGGGGAAGGAGGCAACCTTTCAGATATTTGGGGCCTAATAACAACTTGGGCACCTTGAATCAGACCCAGTAACAAACAGGCATTTTAAGCATGGGTCTCCACCTGGAGACTGAAGCAGAGAGCTCTTGCATGCCAAGCAAGTGTCCTACCACCGAGTGTCAAATCCCCCTGCCCGGTTAACCCTTGCAGTGCCAAGGCCAGGCAGAGCGCAAGGTCCACTCTGTCCTCTCCTGCAGAGCAGGTAGACACTCCCAGCCCCCCTGGGCTCCTACCTCCTCCACCAGAAGGTTCTGGAGTTCCCTCTTGCAATCATCTAGGCGCTGGCGGTCGGCGCTGTCCACCACCCAGATGAGGCCATCGGTGCTCTCAAAGTAGTTCCGCCAGTAGGAGCGCAGGGATTTCTGCCCCCCAACGTCCCAGATGTTCAGCTTGAACCTGCAAAGAGGAGACCCACAGGCAGGTGACAAAGGGGTGGAGGAAATGGGGGGGGGTCTAGGCGGGCAATGAAGGAGGAAGGGAGGGAGGAATGCAGAGAGGAGCCCCTTCCTCCTGTCACAGCAGCCCCTTGGCAGCTATGGGGAAAGGGGACGGGATGGAGCCCCTCACCCGCGGTGCTCCAAGGTCTTGATGTTGAAGCCCAGGGTGGGAGAGATGGTGTCGATCTCATCCCCATTGAACTTCTTCAGGATCGTAGTCTTTCCAGCATTGTCCAGGCCCCTGACATAGGGAGGTGAGTTAAAGGGACACAATTGCAAGAGAGGAGGAGGAGGAGGCCTGCTGCACTCCCTCAATTTCCTGCAGGTTTCTTCAGGGAACCTCTAAGCAAGGGGAAAGCCTGCTGCTCAGTGGCAGAGAGAGTGTGCTTTGCATGCAAAACATCCCAGGTTTAGTCCTTGCTGGCACCTCCAGGTAGGGCCTGGAACTCTAGAGAGCTGCTGCTGCCAGCCAGTGTAGGCAATACTGAGATAGATGTGCCAATGGTCTGACTCGGTATAAGGCAGCTTCCCGTGTTCCTATGCAGTCTGCTAAGGAACTGCTGGCTCTCGCCATATACCCTGCGGGATGCGTGGACGCGCAGATTCGGCTTGCACGGGCTCTGAGAGGCAAAGGCACTCTGCACACGCACAGAGGCGCCCTTTGCCACTTAGGTTCAGAAGACCCTGAGGATGCAGCTTAGAAATGCTGCCTGGTCCCCAGCCCTGGCCCTGCTCCACGCCTCGGAGCAAAAGGAGGTGGAGGAGGAACGCGAAGCCCCGCGTGGACCCTCGCCCGGCCCCGCCACCCCTTCCCCTCTCCCTTCGCCCCTCTTCCCCGCGCGGAAGGATACAGCATCAGCAGCCGCAGCTCCCGCTCCTTCTGCTTCATCTTCTTCAGGATGCTGAGCAGCCCCATCTCCCTCTCGCGCCGGCGGAAGTAGCAGCCCCGCCCACGCAGGAATGCCGGGGGCTTTTGCGGCCAAAGAGATACAAACAGAAAAGAGGCTTTTATGCAATTCGGGCTTCCGACCGCCGCTCTATCAAAACCTCCATATGCGGGGCAGCTTAGAGGGGGTCTTCTCCCAATAATCTCCTTTCTTTCTTTTTTAGTCTATTGGAATAAGGAATATTGCAGTAAGGAAGCACAGCTGCTAGAGGTTTGAATTGTAAAGTCGGGAAGAACCCAAGGAGTCATCTAATTCAACCGTCCCCCGCAATGCACTTCGATACAGCGCTTTGAAATAATCCTAAAAAGAAGAAAAAAATACTTTTGCTCACTGAACTTGTCCGCTTCTCCATTTGACTTTTGGGCGGGGATTATGAAAGAACTTTGAACTTCTGACAATGCAAACCTATGAATGTCTGCTCAAAAAAGCCCAATAGAGTTCAATGGGGCGTCCTCCCATAAGTGCATCACTGCATTGCAGCCTTCGGACACTTTGCTGGCCTAGGAGTTACTTCTGAGCAGACTATGTGTTAAGATTCCACGAGAAGTCCCTATTCGTTGATCTTCTCGTGCAAATGGGAACCCGAAGTCGAGATAGTGGAAGATTCTCCGACTGCGCTGCGCCACTTTCCTCTCCGTTGCTTATTATTCGCCAGGACACGCCCCTTCCCTATCCTGCCCAATGGAAAGGAAGACCAGCTGCCTGGTCCATGGCGAAAAAGCAGACTCGTGAATTGAAGACGGACATACAGGGCCGGAAAACGGATTCAATATAATTTTTCTCTCTCTCCCCACCCACTTTGGAAAGCTGGCCATGGAAAGAAAAAAGTTATGGTTTTCCCCCACCCCACCCCCTAAATTCAGGTCCTAAACTGAAGGGTCCTTCTGAAGGAAAGACGGGATAACAGAAAGAGGCATATAAGCACCATTTTATGAATGAATGAATGAATGACGAAAGAAAGAAAGAAAGAAAGAAAGAAAGAAAGAAAGAAAGAAAGAAAGAAAGTCATGTATTTTTTAGAAACGCTTCTAGAGGAGCAACCTGGCAAATCATCAGCTGAGCGCTGGATCGGGGCCGAGGGAGTCGAAATGGCAAAATGTTTATTACCGGTAAGAGGTATTTTCTGTTGTGGGGTTGGCTGGAAATCCACACCAGCCTCAAGCCCACTTCTGACCTGGACTGCACTGCAAGGCTGTTATAACTCTACCGGTCATCCATGAAGCATCACAGAGGACTACATTGCATGGTTGTTGTAACCGAGTCCCTCACTTTCAGGCTGACCCCTATACCCTCGCCTGAACCTACACTAAGGGGAGAAGATGAGACTGCATACGTGTTGGAATTGGCAGAGTTATTTTTCTGTTCAATGTTGAAAACAATGTTGGGGAGAACTCTCCGCCCTTGAGGCAAAAAAGTTGATCCGGAAGCTGGTCGCTGTGTACGAGTCCACACGTATAAGTCTAAGGAAGACATAGTTTTCAAGTGCCGTTCTTGACGTCACGTGGTCTTCTTGACCGATCTTTCCTCTAGCCAATAAACAGCCGCAAGGCCAGGAGCACTTCCGGGGCACGCTCCATTCCACGGAAATAAGAACATATAGAGCTGCACCTCATTAGTTTGTATAATCAATCTCCGGGTTTTCGAGAGTTCGAGTACAAAGCCATTTTTTAAAATCTCCCCCCTGGAGCTCAAATGAAATGCGGTATTTTAGACCAGATATAATTGGGCCTCACCATCAAACAAAACGAAGCAGCAAAGAGAAAGGAGCCTTCTGTCTCTAACTCATGTGTTACTTCGTGTGAAAGATGTCATTTTAAAAGTTTATTATGCTGCAATCCTAAACCCAATGAGGGGTAGCTTGTATGCTTGGGCCCCCTTCGAATTCCTGGATCCAGCACGGAAGCTAGTCTGCCTATTCCAGGAACTGAATCCGTGCTGGATCCAGGAATTCCAAGGGGCCTCATGTGTACAGCCTGTTGTCTTTGTCCATGGAGTTTTCTTGGCAGGGATACTGGAGTGGCTTGCCGGTTCCTGCTCCGGGTGGATCACGTTTGGTCAAAACTCTCCACTATGACTTGTACATCTTGGGTGGCCCTGCACGGCACAGCTCATAGCTTCTCTGAGTTATTCAAGCCCCTTCGCCATCCATGAAGGAGAAGACTCCCTGGAAAAGACCCTGATGCTGGGAAAGATGGGCACAAGGAGAAGGGGACGACAGAGGACAGTGTTCTCGAAGCTACCAGCATGGAATTTGACCAAACTGCGGGAGGCAGTGGAGGACAGGAGTGCCTGGCGTGCCCTGGTCCATGGGGTCACGGAGAGTCAGACACGACTAAACAACAACATGTGTACAGCCTACCCCTCACTTCCAAACTCAGTATCATCCCCAATGCAAATAACACAGGAAAGAGGAGCCGAGTTCCGGAAGGGAGTTGCAGCAGCAGCGGCAGCAAGATTCTTGCATTGCAGCGGATTGGACTAGATGTCCCTCGGAGTGCTTTCCAACTGTACAAGTCTATGAACCGAAGGTCTCCCGCCCCAGCTCCTCCTCTTTGTCCCGGGCCGGGTCCTTTGTCGCCTCCTCCCCGCCCGGGCCAGCCTCTCCTCCTCCAGCTGCTGCTTCTGCCGTCGATGCCGAGCTCGGAGGCCGCCCCTCTCCGGGGCACGTGCCCGGGGATGTGCCCGGCCGAGGAGTTCGCGCGGCGGCGCCGGGAAGGCCGCCTGCACCGGCTGGAGCTGGGCGCTGGGCGCGAGGCGGACCCGGCGCTGGCCGTCAAGGAATACTCGCGCCCGGCCGCCGGCAAGGCGCCCCCGCGGCCCGAGGAGCTGCGCCCGCCCGACGTTTTGCTGGCCACCGTCCGCCACCTGCTGGAGCGGGAGGACCGGGGATCGGACGCCGGGGACTCCGCCGAGGCTGCGGAGCGCGGCGCCTTCGTAACCGACCGGCTGCGCGCGGTGCGCCTGGACGCGGCGCTGCAGCGGCTCCCCGGCGCGTCCTGCGCCGCCCTCCACGAGCGCGCCCTGATCTGGCTGCTCCGAGCCGGGACGCGCCTCTGCGCCCAGCCGCCCGCCCGCTTCGACGCCCACCTGCACCGCGCCCACCTGCAGGAGACCTTCGCCGCCCTCCGGCGCGCCTACCGGGAGCACGAGGACGGAGCCCGGCCCGCCGCCCAGCCCCGCTTCCAAGCCCTCTTCCTTCTCTACAACCTGGGTGAGGGATCCAGGGACGGGCTGGAAGGGGGTGGGGTGGGCAAAGCCTTACTCATCCCGGGAATTTGGTCGGATGCTTTAGCTCAGCCTTGCCTACCTCGCAGGGTTGTTGTGGCGACCAGGTGGATACAGTACTAGGGAACTGGGAGAGACTAGGGCTTACAATCCTCACCCTGCTCAGCCCTATAGCTCACTGTGTGGCATCGGGCTAGCTAGTGCCTCTCAGCCTAACCTACCTCACAGGTTTGTTGTGGGCATAGCTGTCAACTTTCAGGTTTGAAAATAAGGGATCGGCAGCCTCGAAAATAAGGGATCAGCAGCCTCACCTGTCCCGGGGACAGTCTACGGGATATCTAACAATCCGGGATAGCAGCGGGAAGCAGCGGGAAACGGCACTGGAATAAGGGAATTTCCCACAAAAAAAGGGAAGGTTGACAGCTATGGTTGTGGGGATTAAATAAGGGGGGGGGGACCATACAAGCCACCTTGAGCATCTTGGGGGGAAAGCTGGGATATAAAAGCAGCAAGAAATAAATAAATATGCTTCCATGAAAAGGTGAGATATCAGTGCAGTAAGAAATAAATTCCATCCCTGAAAACAGGGGTGCCCACTGGGGGGGGTGTCACATAATCACATGACGTGGTGCATGCACACCATTTGAATGGCAATGCCCATAAACTTCAGGGGGGGGCCCTCAAATGTTTTATGGAGGGGCTGAAGCCCCCTCGTCCCCTAGGAGTTGGATCCTATGCCTAAAAGGTTGGGATATAAATATAGCAATAAATGAATTTGCTTCCCTGGTCCTTCTATAAAGCCCGGTCATCCTGACCTTTTGCTTCTTTCTCCTCCCACCCCAAACAGGCTCTCCAGTAGCTCTCTGGGAGACCCTGCAGCTCCCCGATGCCATCCGAACCTCCCCAGACGTCTCCATGGCGCTGACCATCAATTGGGCCTTCCTGGAGCGGAATTTCGCCCGCTTCTTCCGCCTGGCCCGGGAGCTGCCTTACCTGCCCAGCTGCGCCCTTCACCCCCACCTGGCTGGGGCCCACCGCCTGGCCTTGATGACCTTCAGCCACGGCTTCAGCGCCAGGAACTCCCGCTACCCTCTGGCACGGCTGGCACGGCTGCTGGCCATGGACAGCGTGGAAGAGGCGGCGGACTTGTGCCAGGCCCACGGCTTGACCGTGTTGGAGGGGGACGTGGTCTTCCAGAAGGGCTCCTTCAAGGACGGTGTGCCTTTGGTGCATAAGACTTCCCGCCTGCTTGTGGACGGCAAATGGGGGGAGTCTACTCTGCTGGAGCTCTCAGAGAGGGTCTGCAGCTGACCCCCTTTGGAATGACTCTGTGTGCGTGAGCTGAGACTGGAAAGGGGTTTGCAGCTCAGGGTTTTCCCCCTAGAGAAGTTAGACTGGCTCCCTCATTGTCGTCTGCCTGGCAGTAGGCTTCAGGTGCAGACAGTGTACAGTGGTACCTTGGGTGAAGTTCTTAATTCGTTCTGGAGGTCCGTACTTAATCTGAAACTGTTCTTAACCTGAAGCACCACTTTAGCTAATGGGGCCTCCTGCTGCCGCTGCGCTGCCGGAGCACAATTTCTGTTCTCATTCTGCAGCAAAGTTCTTAACCCAAGGTGCTATTTCTGGGTTAGCGGAGTCTGTAACCTTAAGCGTATGTAACCCGAGGTACCACTGTATTTTAATTGCTGGTTCTAAGAGCGCTCTGCTGTATTTTTATTTCATTTACACCTCACTTTTCCTCCATGAAGCATTGTTGTTGTCGTCCACCCATCTGACTTTGTTGCCCCAGCCACTCTAGGCAGCTTCCATAATATAAAAACACAGTGAGACATCCTATGTTTAAAAACTTCCCGATACATGTCTTCATTCCTTTCACAACCTTGAGCTCCTTGGAGGAAAAAGGTTGGGATATGAATGCAATAAATAAGTCAATGTCATTTTTAAATGTGCCTTGAGTCTCACCTTGGGAGGAAGGTGGGGTAGAAAATATTAAATAATAGCAATATTATTGCTCCTGAAGGCAGAGTTGAGGGAAGTGTGGGCTCTGACTCTCCTTGGGGGCAGCAGAAGATGGGGAAATGGGACAGCACAGTTTCCATACAGGTCTGACCTTTAAATGCATCCTTCCAGGAAAAAGAAAAATGTTCCCTGTAGATCAAGGGCAGGGAAGCTGTGGCCCTGAATGAATAGTTGGACTACAGCTTCTGTCAGCCCATTTCATTGACCATGCTGGCTCAAGGTGATGGGAGCTGAGAGTCCAGGAACATCTGGAGAACATCTGTTTCACGAAGGATAAGCCATGTTGCAAAAAAAAAAAAAAAGTTTTACGGCAGCTTGAGGTTCCATTCCTCTGCCATTAGAAAGTTAGCACATCTGGGCTAGAGGTTCCATCAAGGCCCTTTCCTCCACTGTGCTGATTCCCTTAATGTAAAAAGGTAAAGGGACCCCTGACTATTAGGTCCAGTCGTGGCAGACTCTGGGGTTGCGGCACTCATATCGCTCTATAGGCTGAGGGAGCCGGCGTACAGCTGCTGGGTCATGTGACCAGCATGACTAAGCCGCTTCTGGCGAACCAGAGCAGTGCACGGAAACACTGTTTACCTTCCCGCCGGAGCGGTACCTATTTATCTACTTGCACTTTGATGTGCTTTCGAACTGCTAGGTTGGCAGGAGCAGGGACCGAGCAATGGGAGCTCACCCCGTCGCGAGGATTTGAACCGCCAACCTTCTGATCAGCAAGTCCTAGGCTCTGTGGTTTAACCCACAGCACCACCCACGTCCCCTCCCTTAATGTATGAGAGCATTAAAAATTTAATTATCGCTCCTACCCCTAGTGGCTTTGATGTCGTTGAGTCCATTCTACCACCACATTTTGCTGCTTGCACAGAGTCCACATATTGTCATGCGCTGCCCCCTGCAGGTTTGGAGGACTTTATGCAAGGCTAGAAGGAAGTTTTTACACCCTCCCTGAATTAAGAATGCAAGAGCCTTGCTGGATCAAACCAGTCCTTTCCACTATCCCGTTCCCCCCAGTTCTCTGGACACCCCCGTGAATGCTAGTCTCATCTGTGGAGCACTTAGTTATTATTGTTTGGAAAACTGAATTGAATGTTACTGGAATGTTACTACAGTAATGTCTGCTGTCAGAAGAGATTGCGGTGATGGTAGTTGTTTTGTATACAGCTTACATGCCAAAGTGATGCTGCATCTGAGAAGCTGTGAGTGAACAGTGTGAGAGCGTTTCCTAAAAAAAACCCGGGTCTGCAAATATTAAATGCTTGGACAACTTTAAAGTGTAGCCCCACCTGCGAACGCTGGGGAATGGATGACAAGTAACTGCTTTTCGTAGCAGAGAACCACTATAAAAAGTCTGAGCCAAAAATGCCTTCTCCTGGGAAGGTACTGATAAATATATGAACCTGAGGGGCCAGAACTTGGGGGGGGGGGAGCTTGCTGCACTTGAGAAGCTCCTGTAAGAGAATTGTGCAATTGAAGCAAGAAACCCAGAAGGCTGTAAAAGGAGCTTTGATTTTCTTTATGGTACTAAAATGTTTCATTTCCCCCTCAAATGGTCAGCATTTGAGATATGGCATTTCCCGCCCCCACTTTCACTCTAGAGTGCCACTTGTCTTGAACTCACATTGTCTTAAGTGAGGGAGCTCCCCTAAAAATTAAATCCTTATACCCCACCCCCACACCGGACTTCCTAAGGAGAACATGGATGCCTGTGGGAGTAATGCAGAACCTCTTCTCACATCATATGTGCTTTCAGAACAGCTCACTTGTTGTGTGTGCGAATGATGCACCCCTCTTATGCAGGCCCTTCTCCTCTTGGGCATGCAACACCTTGCACTCTCGCACACAAACATGCGGCCCCTTTAGATGCTGTCACTTTTTTATAATCTTGTTGATCCAGGCATTCTTCAGAAAAGACTTTGTAGGCCCCATGAATAACACCGGATTGTAGACCTGAAGAGTGCTCAATAGATAACCTATTCCTGCAGGAAAACCTGACAATTATGTCTGTCCTAAGCTTTCCTTAGGGGATTTCCCGACCTGTCAAAGTCTGTGGTTGGTTTTCCTAATGTTTATGTAGTGTGTGAGATGTTTGCTCTTTTAGGAGGCTCCTGTATGAAAAAGTTTATCTGGAGATGTTAAGTGGGAGAGATATTGCTTTCCCTTACTTGTGTCTGCCTTGACCCCTCAGACCACCCTTTTACATTATGCCCTAACTGACTTGAGTGAGAAGCCCAGGTGAGATTGGCCCAGGAAATTGTGGCTGCAGTGCAGTATTTAAGTCCGCTGCAGTTCTATGCATGCCTACCTGGGAGCAAGCCCTACTGAGACATACATCTGAATAAACACACACAGGATTGCAGTGCATGGTAGAAAGAGACCAGGGTCAGTTTTGGAAAGAGCCATAACTTGGCAGTAGGTCATCTGCTTGGCATGTTCAATCTCCTCTTTGCCTGAGACCCTGAAGTACCACTGCTGGTCAGTCAGTAGAACTGGGCCAAAACAAACAAGATGAACTTTAACAGGGAGAAATGTAAAGTATTGCACTTCAGCAAAAAAATATGAGAGGCAAAAATACAAGATGGGTGACACCGGGCTTGAGAGCAGTACATGTGAAAAGGATCTAGGAGTCTTGGTTGACCACAAACTTGACATGAGCCAACAGTGTGACGCGGCAGCTAAAAAAGCCAATGCAATTCTGGGCTGCATCAATAGGAGTATAGCATCTAGATCAAGGGAAGTAATAGTGCCACTGTATTCTGCTCTGGTCAGACCTCACCTGGAGTACTGTGTCCAGTTCTGGGCACCACAGTTCAAGAAGGACACTGACAAACTGCAATGTGTCCAGAGGGCAACCAAAATGGTCAAAGGCCTGGAAACGATGCCTTATGAGGAACGGCTAAGGGAGCTGGGCATGTTTAGCCTGGAGAAGAGGAGGTTAAGGGGTGATATGATAGCCATGTTCAAATATATAAAAGGATGTCATATAGAGGAGGGAGAAAGGTTGTTTTCTGCTGCTCCAGAGAAGCGGACACGGAGCAATGGATCCAAACATTAGGAAGAACTTCCTGACAGTAAGAGCTGTTTGACAGTGGAATTTGCTGCCAAGGAGTGTGGTGGAGTCTCCTTCTTTGGAGGTCTTTAAGCAGAGGCTTGACAACCATATGTCAGGAGTGCTCTGATGGTGTTTCCTGCTTGGCAGGGGGTTGGACTCGATGGCCCTTGTGGTCTATTCCAACTCTATGATTCTATTGGGCAAAGGGGACAAGGCAGCTTTATATACTTGAAGGTATATAATGTGCATGAGGTTCTTTTATACTATGAGCACAGAGTGTTCCAATTTTGCTCCTCTCTTAAATCAACACACACTTCTCTCTGGTAATTTTCACTTTGCTGAGTTTTGGCTCTTCCTCCAGGTTCACCTGTTCCAGGTGTTCAAATTGTGAAGGCACAAGCTGCTGCATGTCCAACTTCTCCTGCTCAGAGTGGGAAGATCCTAAGGGGGCTTCTCACTGCATTAGGCTGAATGCTTTTCCAAGTCCCCTCACAATCAGCTATGCGGCTATGGCAGGGCTACTGAGGCCCAACTCTGGTTGCAGTAGATCAGACTGCATTGAAACCAGTGAATGCATAACATAAGCACATTCCATCTATCAGTGGTGGTGGTGTTGCAAAATGTAAGCTGCAAAGACATAATAACAGGCTATGACATAGCATGGATTCTGGGATGGGCCTACAATGTGAGGCAGGTATATGGCATTCTTTAATCACTGTGACCCATTCTGCACAATTATTTAATCCCCGGCCTTAAAAATATAATACCCTAAAGGTTTGCTAGGGCTCAGTTGTACCTGAAATGTACAGCCTGCCTCCCGCTGCCTCTTGCTGAGAATTACGACTTCTGGTATGGAGCGGACTTTACCCCTGGACTTTGACAGCTTTGATAAATATATTTAAGGATCTACCCTGTTCTCTTGATTGAGGTTTCTTTTCACTGGTTTTAATATAGTATTTTTTAATTGTTGCAACCCGCCCTGGCGCCTTAGGATGAAAGTCAGGCAAGTAATCTTAAAAGCCCCCTTCAGACCTCCCCACACAATGATGGAAGGTTGGGGTGGCTTTTAGTCTGGGTTCACACCTATGTGTTGCTTGGAAATGTGGTGAGGTGAAAGGGGTTATTAGCTTCTCCTGAAAAAGAAGAGTGCAGCAGCTGGGATACTGGGGAATAAAAGGTTCAGGAGGTCAAAAGGTTAATAAACACTTTATTTCCATTTTACAATATCAGTTATTCTCAATTAATTTGCTTTTAAAGTGCTGAAAAGATTTTCCTTTTACTGTTTTGTTTTAAAATCGAGATACATTTGTTAAACAAAAAGATGAAGTAGATAACAAATAGCATCTGTAAGGTTGGGAGGGAATATAGAAGGCCTTGAAGAATTTTGCTCCACATCTCAGAAAACTTTCATTTCATTATACAAAAATAACAAATATATAGAGATGACTAAGATGGTGTCAGAATGTACACAAAATCTTTGGTTAATTTATTTTATCGTGACTTTGTTAACCAGACAAAAATGGAAAATTATACCATGGGTGTTTTATTACATCTGTCCTGTATCAAATGAATACAAAAAACCTGACCTTTCTGCAGCAATGTAAGACTGTTTGTGAGGCCCCAAATTTGACACATCTCAGTTGCATCTATATATTTTTACAGAGTTTTTTTTCTTTTTCTTTTAACACATCCAATTTTTAAACAATAGAAAAATTTTAGCTGCCCCCTTCCACAGATAAAAGCAGGAGGGGGAGGGGAGTCATTGAAATGGAAAACAATTGCCATAGATCAACACTGAAGATATTTAGCAAGTCGAAAAGTATATATATTTATATGTTTTTAAAAGCTTGCTTAAGTAAACATAAAGCTCTCAGCGTACGAAGCGCAAACCCCCAACCCTAAAACACAAGAGAGAACTTCCAAAATACATCTGAGGAACTGTACACCCCACCTTCCTAATGGCACAGCTTTAAATATCACATAAATCCAGGTTCTACCTCTTTTCAAATTGGTAGCCGGAAGAAGTGCCCATCACACAATCGGCATTATTACCCATGGCACAAATGATACTGTTTTATTCAAACTGATACAGCTGATTCACCAAGCAGCATTCTGTGTTATGTGTGTGTTGCCGCTTTTTAAAAAAAATTGGCACTACATAACCGTTATTACAGCCACAGTGCATTGTGGGAAGTACGGCAATGCATTCTGGGATGCAAGTTTACCTGCCATATCACTGCTTTAAGAACTTTGCAAAAAAAAGAAAAGCGCTGTATCAGTTTCTGTGAGATATTTATACATATAATCTATGGAAGAGATAATCCTGTTGGGAAGACTCCCTGACCACAGTAAAAACATGGTTATTTCTCAGTTAAGGCCTACCATTTCACTGGGCACCCTGTTTTTATTGCTGAGCATTTCAAGCTAGGAAATTTGTATATACACACATATAAGGGAGATAGATAAGATATATACACACAGAGACAATATGTACACGAGAACCCCCCCACTCCACTCATTTCATTTCGTCATCACTTCCCGATACCTCATAAGAACCTTTAGTTTTTGCCCCTATCCCCCCAAACGTACCAAATTTCAGCTTGGCCTGTTTGCCTTTGTCATGCTCCAGTGTGCCTGTTGGCGTCGAATGCGAGGAATGCTCGTCGCTGAAAGACGACGACCGGTGCCGGGACTTTTTGCCCTTAAAGAAGGAGAACTTCCCTTTTGGAGAAGCAGACCCTTCCACTTCCACATCCCCCTCCAAGGAACCCAGGCTGGCCTGTAACTCCCCTTCGCACCCTGAGGCAGACACCGAGATCTCTGGGGAGCCAACGCTGCCTTTGACCTTAGATTTTGAGAAAGGGAACTTTGGCATTTTGATTTTAGATTTCTTAAGCTTAATGTCAGGCTCTTCCAGTTCGACATTCACCGCCCCGGCATGGAAGCTTGCCTCTGGCGCCTGAGGGAACTCAACATCAACTCCAACCTCCCTTCCTGTTAGCTCTTGCCCCGCAACCACAAATTTTGGCATTTTCATTTTGGGGAACGACACTTGTCCAGATGGGCTTTCTAAATGGCCGTGTGGAACATTCACCCCAACAGAAGGACCTTTGACCTCTAATTTGGGACCTTTGAGATCAACCCCTGCCTTTGGTCCAGAAAACTGAAGGCCTCCAGACCCCTGCATGCCCATGTTTAGCTCTGGCCCAGAAACTTTGGGAGCTGACACATTGAGCGAAGGTCCTCTCAAGCTGACATCAGGAGCGCCAGTGTCCAAGCCCATGCCAGAAATCTTCACACCTGGTGCCCCCACGCCGATCTGTTGACCTTTCATGCCACCAGATACGTTAACGTCACCTTTCAAACTTGGTCCTTTCACATTCAAGTCAAAGCCTGGGGCAGAAATGTCATGTCCTTTGAGATCTACTTCAGGCCCTTTGATCTGTGGTCCTGAAATACTTCCTCCTTCACTGGCGATGCCAAACTGGGGCAGCTTCATGCAGGGAATCTTAATTCCAACTCCAGAGCCTTCCACGTTAACGTCAGGTGCCTCGACAGCCACCTTGGGAGATGTAATGCCGCCAGAAATGCCGAAGTCTCCTTTGATCTTTGGTCCTTTCAGATTCACATCGAAATCAGGCGCTGAAATGCCTCCTCCAGAGGCCATTTTTACTGTTGGCGCTTTCACGTCCAGGTCTGGAGCACTCACATTGACATCTAGGCCTGAGGCCTTTGGCATTTTAAGCTTTCCTTCAAAACCACTGACGTCAACATCTTGTGTGCCAAATCCGATCTTTGGACCTTTAATGTCACCAGAAAGGCCCATGTCTCCTCCAAATTTTGGTCCTTTCAAGCTTACATCCACTGCAGGAGCGCTCATACTTCCTCCGATGCTTGGGGCCGAAACATCAACACTTGCTGAGGGCAGTTTTCCTTGAAGGTCCACCTCGGGCCCCTCCACTTTCACACCTGGCTTCCCGATCTTTGGCAAGCCAAATTTTGGCATTTTCAATTTCCCTTCTAGGCCTTGTCCTTCCATCTGGGGAAGGTCAATATCACCTTTCAGCTTTGGTCCTTTCAAGTTAATGTCAGGGGCTGACATGGAAGGAGCAGAAACACCCATGGATGGCAGGTTCACTGATGGACCTTTCAGGCTGATGTCAGGCGCGCTGAGGTTGGCATCAACACTAGGGCCTCGAAGGTCTCCTTCCAGTTTGGGACCAGCCAGATCGACATTTCCACCTGAGAATTTGAACTTTGGCTTCTTGAGATGGATGTCAGGACCTCCAATATTGACATCGGGGAGGCTGGCACTTCCGCTGGGAACTGTGATGTCAAGATCTGGAGATTTCAGAGATGGTGATGAGACATCTATTCCTGGTGACTTGATTTCCCCTTCCACCTTTGGCAAAGAAGCATCAGCCTTGAACATAGGTGATTTGATATCAAACTCGACGTCAGGAAAAGAGAGTTTCCCAAACATAGACTTCTTTCCTTTGGGTGACTTGATGTTCATGTCTCCTTTCAGGGATGCTTCAGGGACAGAAATGCTTCCTTCCAAATCTGGCGATTTCATACTTGCATCCATATCTCCACTCACAGCAAAGCCAGCCTTCTTGCCTTTGACTTTAGGCCCGCTCATGTGGATTTTAGGCATTTTGAATTTGCTTTTCTTCCCTTTTCCAGAAATGGAGATGTCAGGCGATTCAACATTCAGCTCACCTTCTGGGAGGGAGACGTCTGCCTTGGGGCTTTTTGCTCCAAATCCAAACTTTGGCATTTTAAATTTAGGGAGTTTAACGTTTCCCTCTGGCCCTTCAAGGTTTACATCTGGACACTCCAAGTCAATCTCAGGGCCCTTAGCTTCAATTCCTGGCCCTTGAATATCAATTCCTGGACCTTTTAAGCTGCCTTCAACCTTGGGAAGAGCGACATCAACATCACCCTTCACTTTAGGTCCCTTCAGATTTAAGTCAATCTCTGGCATGGATATTTGAGGTGTTTTGAGTTTGGGACCCTTCAGTTTTCCTTCTGGTCCTTCTATGTTCAAGCTGGGGCCTGATAATTCCAATTCACCCTTGGGTACATTTACATCGATATGAGGTCCTTCCCCTTTGAACTCAGGCATGCCAAATTTGGGCAGCTTCATCTTGGGGAATTTCACCTTTCCGTCTGGACCATGAATATCAACATTGGGAGCATCAATGTCCAATTGAGGGCCTTTGATGTCAATTTCTGGACCCTTGAAATCACCTTCAACCTTTGGTAGGGAAACATCCACATCTCCTTTCAGTTTGGGGCCTTTGAGGGTGAAATCCACATCAGGCATGGAGATTTTGGGCGCTTTGATGTTCATTTCAGGCATCTTGAATTTAGGGCTTTTCCATTTTCCTTCTGGGCCTTCAAGTTCAACATCAGGAACATCTACGTCAAGTTTGGGTCCTTTGATATCAATTTCAGGGCCCTTCAGATCCCCTTCCAACTTTGGCACCGAAACATCCACATCCCCCTTCACTTTGGGACCTTTCAAGTTCAAGTCAAAATCTGGCATGGAGATTTTGGGGGTCTTAAAATGCATATCAGGCATCTTAAACTTGGGGCCTTTAAGTTTTCCTTCAGGGCATTCAAGCTCAACATCAGGAACCGAAACATCCAGCTTAGGGCCATGTATATCCACATCTGGTGCTTGCAAATCACCTCCAATCTTGGGAAGAGATACATCCACATCTCCCTTCAGTTTTGGGCCCTTCAAGTTGAGGTCTACATCTGGCATGGATAATTTTGGTGCTTTGATGTTCATCTCAGGCATCTTAAATTTAGGTCCTTTCAGTTTTCCATCAGGTCCCTCAATGTCAATGTCAGGAGCATCTATCTTAGGACCTTTGATATCTATTTCAGGCCCTCTTAGATCCCCTTCAAATTCTGGGACGGAAACATCCACATCACCTTTAAGTTTAGGCCCTTTCAAGTTTAGATTCATATCTGGCATGGAGATTTTAGGTGCCTTGAAATGCATGTCCGGCATCTTGAATTTAGGGCTTTTCCATTTTCCTTCTGGGCCTTCGAGTTCAACATCAGGAACATCTACATCTAATTTCGGCCCTTTAATATCGACATCGGGCCCCTTCAGATCACCTTCAAACTTCGGTACAGACACATCCACGTCACCCTTCACTTTCGGCCCTTTGAGATTTAGATCAAAATCTGGCATGGAGATTTTGGGTGCCTTAAAGTGCATGTCAGGCATCTTAAACTTGGGACCTCTGAGTTTTCCTTCAGGACCTTCAAGCTCAACATCAGGAAGGTCAACATCTAGTTTGGGACCCTGGATATCCACATCTGGGCCTTTCAGGTCACCTTCCAGCTTTGGAACCGAAAGGTCAACATCTCCCTTCAGTTTAGGGCCTTTCAAATTGAAATCAACATCTGGCATGGAGATTTTGGGTGATTTGAAGTGCATGTCAGGCATCTTAAATCTGGGACCTTTCACTTTTCCTTCTGGGCCTTCAATGTCTAGGCTTGGTGCATCAATGTCCACCTTCGGAAGAGAAACATCAAGGTCTGCTTTGGGGAGGCTCACATCCACATCTGGGCCCTCTGCCTTGAAGCTAGGCATTCCAAATTTGGGCATTTTGAATTTTGGCATTTTCAGTTTTCCTTCTGGGCCATGGAGGTCGACGTCCGGAGCATCAATATCCAGTTTGGGACCTTTGATGTCTATTTCTGGACCCTTCAAATCACCTTCAACCTTGGGTAGGGAAACGTCCACATCACCTTTCAGTTTGGGGCCTTTGAGGTTGAAATCCACATCAGGCATGGAGATTTTGGGTGCTTTGATGTTCATTTCAGGCATCTTGAATTTAGGGCTTTTCCATTTTCCATCTGGGCCTTCAAGTTCAACATCTGGAATATCTACATCTAATTTCGGCCCTTTGATATCAATTTCGGGGCCCTTCAGATCACCTTCCAACTTCGGCACTGAAACATCCACATCCCCCTTCACTTTCGGCCCTTTCAAGTTCAAATCAAAATCTGGCATGGAGATTTTGGGTGCTTTGAAGTGCATGTCCGGCATCTTAAACTTGGGACCTTTCACTTTTCCTTCTGGGCCTTCAATGTCCAGGCTTGGTGCATCAATGTCCACTTTCGGCAGAGAAACATCAATGTCTGCTTTTGGAAGATTTACATCCACCTCTGGACCTTCTGCTTTGAAGCTTGGCATTCCAAATTTGGGCATTTTGAATTTTGGCATTTTCAGTTTTCCTTCTGGGCCATGGAGGTCGACGTCCGGAGCATCAATATCCAGCTTGGGACCTTTGATGTCAATTTCTGGACCCTTCAAATCACCTTCAAGCTTTGGTAGGGAAACATCCACATCTCCTTTCAGTTTAGGGCCTTTGAGGTTGAAATCCACATCAGGCATGGAGATTTTAGGTCCTCTGATGTTCATTTCAGGCATCTTGAATTTAGGGCTTTTCCATTTTCCTTCTGGGCCTTCGAGTTCAACATCAGGAACATCTACATCTAATTTCGGCCCTTTAATATCGACGTCGGGCCCCTTCAGATCACCTTCAAACTTCGGTACAGACACATCCACGTCACCCTTCACTTTCGGCCCTTTGAGATTTAGATCAAAATCTGGCATGGAGATTTTGGGTGCCTTAAAGTGCATGTCAGGCATCTTAAACTTGGGACCTCTGAGTTTTCCTTCAGGACCTTCAAGCTCAACATCAGGAAGGTCAACATCTAGTTTGGGACCCTGGATATCCACATCTGGGCCTTTCAGGTCACCTTCCAGCTTTGGAACCGAAAGGTCAACATCTCCCTTCAGTTTAGGGCCTTTCAAATTGAAATCAACATCTGGCATGGAGATTTTGGGTGCTTTGAAGTGCATGTCCGGCATTTTAAACTTGGGACCTTTCACTTTTCCTTCTGGGCCTTCGATGTCCAAGCCTGGTCCTTCAATGTCTACTTTGGGAGCAGAAAGGTCAATGTCTGCTTTTGGAAGATTTACATCCACCTCTGGACCTTCTGCTTTGAAGCTTGGCATTCCAAATTTTGGCATTTTGAATTTTGGCATTTTCAGTTTTCCTTCTGGGCCATGGAGGTCAACATCTGGAGCTTCAATATCCAGCTTGGGACCTTTGATGTCTATTTCTGGACCCTTCAAATCACCTTCAACCTTTGGTAGGGAAACGTCCACATCTCCTTTCAGTTTGGGGCCTTTGAGGTTGAAATCCACATCAGGCATGGAGATTTTGGGTGCTTTGATGTTCATTTCAGGCATCTTGAATTTAGGGCTTTTCCATTTTCCTTCTGGGCCTTCAAGTTCAACATCAGGAACATCTACGTCAAGTTTGGGTCCTTTGATATCAATTTCGGGGCCCTTCAGATCACCTTCCAACTTTGGCACCGAAACATCCACATCCCCCTTCACTTTGGGACCTTTCAAGTTCAAGTCAAAATCTGGCATGGAGATTTTGGGGGTCTTAAAATGCATGTCAGGCATCTTAAACTTGGGACCTCTGAGTTTTCCTTCAGGACCTTCAAGCTCAACATCAGGAAGGTCAACATCTAGTTTGGGACCCTTAATATCCACATCTGGGCCTTTCAGGTCACCTTCCAGCTTTGGAACTGAAAGGTCAACATCTCCCTTCAGTTTAGGGCCTTTCAAATTGAAATCAACATCTGGCATGGAGATTTTGGGTGCTTTGAAGTGCATGTCAGGCATCTTAAACTTGGGACCTCTGAGTTTTCCTTCAGGACCTTCAAGCTCAACATCAGGAAGATCAACATCTACTTTTGGCCCCTTGATATCCACATCTGGGCCTTTCAGGTCACCTTCCAGCTTTGGAACCGAAAGGTCAACATCTCCCTTCAGTTTAGGGCCTTTCAAATTGAAATCAACATCTGGCATGGAGATTTTGGGTGCTTTGAAGTGCATGTCAGGCATCTTTAATTTGGGACCTTTGATCTTGCCCTCTGGGCCTTCTATATCCAAGTCGGGAGTTTCAATGTCCACTTTGGGTCCTGATACATCAATGTCTGCTTTGGGAAGGTTTATATCTACCTCAGGACCCTCTGCCTTTAAGCCTGGCACTCCAAATTTGGGCATTTTGAATTTGGGCATTTTGAGTTTGCCTTCTGGTCCATGGAGATCAACATCTGGAACATCAATGTCTAACTTGGGGCCTTTGATATCTATGTCAGGACCTTTCAAATCCCCTTCCAGGCTTGGTGCAGAAACATCAAGGTCACCTTTTAATTTTGGACCTTTCAAATTCAATTCCACATCAGGCTTTGAAACTTTAGGTGATGAAATATTCAGGGAAGGCATTTTAAATTTAGGGCCTTTCACTTTTCCATGAACATCAACATCTGGGCCTTGGACATCAACTTTGGGCCCTGAGATATTAACATCTGGTTTCTTAAGCTTCACGTCAACCTCTGGAGTGTGAACCTTTGGACCAGAAAAACTGAACTTTGGAAGCTTAAATCTTGATTTCTTTGTTTTCGCTTCAATATCTATCTTTGGTGCTTCTAAGTCAACTTCAGGTCCTTTTAATTCAACATTAGGACCTTTGATATCGCCTTCCAAGTCTCCCTTTAATTTAGGACCTTTCAAATTCAAGTCAATGTCTGGCATTGAGATCTTTGGAACATTAAAATTAATTTCAGGCTTCTTAAACTTGGGACCCCTTAATTTTCCTTCAGGGCCTTCGATTTCCAAATCGGGTGTTTCAATGTCTAGGCTGGGGCCAGATATATCCACTTCTCCCTTAGGTAAGCTCACATCCATGGAAGGGCCTTCTCCCTTGAAACCAGGCATTCCAAATTTGGGCATTTTAAACTTGGGCATTTTGAGTTTGCCCTCCGGACCGTGCAAGTCAACATCTGGTGCGTCAATGTCCAATTGGGGGCCTTTGATGTCAATGTCAGGCCCTTTCAATCCACCTTCGACCTTTGGCAGAGAAACATCCACATCTCCTTTCAGTTTTGGACCCTTCAAATTAAGATCCACATCTGGCATGGAAAGCTTTGGCGCTTTGATGTGCATTTCTGGCATCTTAAACTTGGGGCCTTTAATTTTACCGTCTGGACCTTCAATGTCTAACTCAGGGCCTTCAATGTCCACCTTGGGAGCAGATATATCAATGTCTCCCTTTGGGAGATTTACATCCAGTTCAGGGCCCTCTGCCTTGAAGCCAGGCATTCCAAATTTGGGCATTTTGAATTTGGGCATTTTCAGTTTTCCTTCTGGGCCATGGAGGTCAACATCTGGAACATCAATATCCAGCTTGGGACCTTTAATGTCTATTTCTGGACCCTTCAAATCACCTTCAACCTTTGGTAGGGAAACGTCCACATCTCCTTTCAGTTTGGGGCCTTTGAGGTTGAAATCCACATCAGGCATGGAGATTTTGGGCGCTTTGATGTTCATTTCAGGCATCTTAAATTTAGGGCTTTTCCATTTTCCTTCTGGGCCTTCAAGTTCAACATCAGGAACATCTACGTCAAGTTTGGGTCCTTTGATATCAATTTCGGGGCCCTTCAGATCACCTTCCAACTTTGGCACCGAAACATCCACATCCCCCTTCACTTTGGGACCTTTCAAGTTCAAGTCAAAATCTGGCATGGAGATTTTGGGGGTCTTAAAATGCATGTCAGGCATCTTAAACTTGGGACCTCTGAGTTTTCCTTCAGGACCTTCAAGCTCAACATCAGGAAGGTCAACATCTAGTTTGGGACCCTTAATATCCACATCTGGGCCTTTCAGGTCACCTTCCAGCTTTGGAACTGAAAGGTCAACATCTCCCTTCAGTTTAGGGCCTTTCAAATTGAAATCAACATCTGGCATGGAGATTTTGGGTGCTTTGAAGTGCATGTCAGGCATCTTAAACTTGGGACCTTTCACTTTTCCCTCTGGACCATCTATACTGAAGTCAGGAGCATCAATATCTAATTTGGGACCTTTGATATCAACATCTGGTCCTTTCAGATCCCCCTCTACCTTTGGCAAAGAAACATCAACATCCCCCTTCAGTTTGGGACCCTTCAGGTTCAGGTCAAAATCTGGCATAGAGATTTTGGGTGCTTTGATGTTCATTTCAGGCATCTTAAATTTGGGCCCTTTGAGTTTTCCTTCAGGGCCTTCAAGCTCAACATCAGGGATGTCAACATCCAATTTGGGACCCTTGATGTCAACATTTGGGCCCTTCAAGTCACCCTCCAATTTAGGAACAGAAACATCAGCATCTCCTTTTATTTTGGGACCCCTCCAGTTCAAATCAATGTCCGGCATGGAGATCTTAGGGACATTAAAATGCATTTCTGGCATCTTAAATTTGGGCCCTTTGAGTTTTCCTTCAGGTCCTTCAATTTCAACATCAGGAATATCTACGCCAACTTTAGGACCTTTGATGTTGACATCAGGGCCTTTCAGATCACCTTCCAACTTTGGCACTGAAACATCCACATCCCCCTTCACTTTGGGTCCTTTCAAACCCAGGTCTAAATCTGGCATGGAGATTTTGGGAGCTTTGATATGCATTTCAGGCATTTTGAATTTGGGGCCCTTTAGCTTCCCTTCAGGTCCTTCTAGGTCAACATCAGGAACGTCAATGTCCAATTTGGGCCCTTTGAGATCCACCTCCGGGCCTTTCAAGTCCCCTTCCAACTTTGGCACAGACACATCCAGATCGCCTTTTACTTTGGGACCCCTTAGGTTCAAATCAATGTCAGGCATGGATATCTTAGGTGTTTTAATGTGCACTTCTGGCATCTTAAATTTGGGGCTCTTCCACTTTCCTTCTGGACCTTCAATGTCAACATCTGGAGCATCAATTTCCAATCCTGGCCCTTTAATGTCAATATTGGGGCCTTTCAGATCACCTTCCAACTTCGGCACCGAAACATCCACATCCCCCTTCACTTTCGGCCCTTTCAAGTTCAAGTCAAAATCTGGCATGGAGATTTTGGGTGCCTTAAAGTGCATGTCAGGCATCTTAAACTTGGGACCTCTGAGTTTTCCTTCAGGACCTTCAAGCTCAACATCAGGAAGGTCAACATCTAGTTTGGGACCCTTGATATCCACATCTGGGCCTTTCAGGTCACCTTCCAGCTTTGGAACCGAAACGTCAACATCTCCCTTCAGTTTAGGGCCTTTCAAATTGAAATCAACATCTGGCATGGAGATTTTGGGTGCTTTGAAGTGCATGTCAGGCATCTTAAATCTGGGCCCTTTCACTTTCCCTTCTGGGCCTTCAATGTCCAGGCTTGGTGCATCAACATCAACTTTTGGAACAGAAACATCAATGTCTGCTTTGGGGAGGCTCACATCAACATCTGGGCCTTCTCCTTTGAATCCGGGCATTCCAAATTTGGGCATTTTGAATTTGGGCATCTTCAATTTGCCTTCAGGTCCATGGAGATCAACATCAGGCATGTCAATGTCCAATTTGGGTCCTTTGATATCAAATTCTGGGCCTTTCAAGTCTCCTTCAAGTTTGGGGACTGAAACATCCACATCACCCTTGATTTTGGGACCTTTCAGATTCAAATCAACATCTGGCATGGAGATTTTTGGAGCCTTGATGTGCATTTCAGGCATTTTAAACTTCGGACTCTTCCATTTTCCTTCAGGGCCTTCAATGTCAACATCAGGAGCATCTATGTCTAGCTTAGGACCCTTAATGTTGAAGTCTGGACCTTTCAAGTCACCTTCCAGCTTTGGAACTGTAACATCATACTCTCCCTTCACTTTAGGGCCTTTCAGGTTCAAGTCAACATCTGGCAGAGAGATCTTTGGAGCTTTGAAGTGCATGTCAGGCATCCTAAATCTAGGCCCTTTCACTTTTCCTTCTGGGCCTTCAATGTCCAAGCTTGGAGCATCAATGTCAACTTTTGGAACAGAAACATCAATGTCAGCTTTGGGGAGGCTCACGTCAACATCTGGGCCTTCCCCTTTGAAGCCTGGCATTCCAAATTTGGGCATTTTGAATTTGGGCATCTTCAGTTTTCCCTCTGGCCCATGGAGATCAACATCTGGCATGTCAATATCCAATTTTGGTCCTTTGATATCAAATTCTGGGCCTTTCAAGTCTCCTTCAAGTTTGGGGACTGAAACATCCACATCACCCTTGATTTTGGGACCTTTCAGATTCAAATCAACATCTGGCATGGAGATTTTTGGAGCCTTGATGTGCATTTCGGGCATCTTAAACTTCGGACTCTTCCATTTTCCTTCAGGGCCTTCAATGTCAATATCTGGAGCTTCAATATCCACTTTGGGGCCCTTGATATCCATTTGGGGTCCTTTCAAATTGCCTTCAATATTTGGGACAGTTACATCCATCTCCCCTCTCGCTCTGGGACCTTTCAAGTTTAAGTCAATATCCGGCATGGAGATTTTGGGTGTCTTGAAATGCATTTCAGGCATTTTGAACTTGGGACCTTTCAGTTTTCCCTCTGGACCTTCGATGTCTATGCTTGGCATATCAGCATTCAGTTTTGGTCCCGAAACATCAATGTCTGCTTTAGGGAGGCTCACGTCAACATCAGGGCCTTCCCCTTTGAAGCCAGGCACCCCAAACTTGGGCAGCTTCATCTTGGGCATCTTAATTTTAGCATCTGGGCCTTCCAGGTCAACATCTGGGAGATCCACATCAAGTTTGGGGCCCTTGATGTCAATGCTGGGTCCTTTCATATCACCCTCAATCTTTGGGACAGACACATCCATTTCACCCTTCATTTTGGGGGCCTTGAGATTCAAGTCGACATCTGGCATGGAAATTTTAGGAGATTTAATATTGAGTTTTGGCATCTTGAATCTGGAACCTTTGATTTTTCCTTCAGGACCCTCCAATTCCACATCTGGGACATCAACATCCAAGTTAGGACCCTCAATATTGACCTTGGGTCCTTTCAGGTCACCTTCTATCTTTGGCCCAGAGATATCCACATCTCCCTTCAGTTTTGGCCCTTTCAGATTGAAATCTACATCTGGCATTGATATCTTGGGTGCATGGATATTCAGTTCAGGCATCTTAAACTTGGGCCCTTTCAGTTTTCCTTCTGGGCCTTCAATGTCCAAGGCTGGTGCTTCAATGTCTACTTTGGGAGCAGAAAGATCAACGTCTGCTTTTGGAAGATTTACATCCACCTCTGGACCTTCTGCTTTGAAGCTTGGCATTCCAAATTTGGGCATTTTGAATTTTGGCATTTTCAGTTTTCCTTCTGGGCCATGGAGGTCAACATCTGGAGCATCAATATCCAGCTTGGGACCTTTGATGTCAATTTCTGGGCCCTTCAAATCACCTTCAACCTTTGGTAGGGAAACATCCACATCTCCTTTCAGTTTGGGGCCTTTGAGGTTGAAATCCACATCAGGCATGGAGATTTTGGGTGCTTTGATGTTCATCTCTGGCATCTTAAATTTGGGGCCTTTAATTTTGCCTTCGGGTCCTTCAATGTCCAGTCCAGGAGCTTCAACGTCTACTTTGGGACCTGATATACTAATGTCACCCTTTGGAAGACTAACATCCATGCCAGGGCTTTCCCCTTTGAAACCAGGCATTCCAAATTTGGGCATTTTCATTTTGGGCATCTTCAATTTTCCTTCAGGACCATGAAGGTCAACGTCGGGCACATCAATGTCTACTTGGGGCCCCTTGATATCAATTGCAGGACCTTTTAAGCCACCTTCTAATTTCGGCACAGAAACATCAAAGTCCCCTTTCACTTTAGGCCCTTTCAAGTTCAAATCGATGTCCGGCATGGAGATCTGAGGAGTTTTAATATGCATTTCAGGCATCTTGAATTTAGGACCTTTTATTCTGCCTTCTGGTCCTTCAATGTCTAATCCAGGAGCTTCAGTGTCCACCTTTGGAGCTGAAACATCGACGCTTCCCTTTGGAAGACTGACATTCACATCAGGAACTTCTCCTTTCACACCAAACTTGGGCAATTTCATCTTTGGCATTTTGAGTTCAGGTCCGTGAAGTTCGACATCTGGTGTTCCAATGTCCAATTTGGGGCCTTTGATGTCCACAGCTGGGCCCTTTAATTCTCCTTCTACTTTTGGGATTGAAACATCAACACCCCCCTTGACTTTGGGGCCTTTCAAGTTCAGGTCAATGTCTGGCATGGATATTTGTGGGGTCTTAACATGCATTTCTGGCATCTTGACATGGGGACCTTTCAGTTGTCCTCCAGGACCTTTGATGTTGAAGGTGGGAGCTTCAATGTCTACATTTGGAGCTGAAACATCGATACTTCCCTTTGGAAGACTGACATCCACATCAGGCATTTCACCTTTCACGCCAAACTTGGGCAATTTCATCTTTGGCATTTTGAGTTCAGGTCCGTGAAGTTCGACATCTGGTGTTCCAATGTCCAATTTGGGGCCCGTGATGTCCACAGCTGGGCCCTTTAATTCTCCTTCCACTTTTGGGATGGAAACGTCGACACCTCCCTTGACTTTGGGGCCTTTCAGATTCAGGTCAATGTCTGGCATGGATATTTGCGGGGTCTTAACATGCATTTCTGGCATCTTGACATGGGGGCCCTTCAGTTGTCCTCCAGGACCTTTGATGTTGAAGGTGGGAGCTTCAATGTCTACATTTGGACCTGAAACATCCATGCTTCCCTTTGGAAGACTGACATCCACATCAGGAACTTCTCCTTTCACGCCAAACTTGGGCAATTTCATCTTTGGCATTTTGAGTTCAGGTCCGTGAAGTTCGACATCTGGTGTTCCAACATCCAATTTGGGGCCTTTAATGTCCACAGCTGGGCCCTTTAATTCTCCTTCCACTTTTGGGATGGAAACGTCGACACCTCCCTTGACTTTGGGACCTTTCACATTCAGGTCAATGTCTGGCATGGATATTTGTGGGGTCTTAACATGCATTTCTGGCATCTTGACATGGGGACCTTTCAGTTGTCCTCCAGGACCTTTGATGTTGAAGGTGGGAGCTTCAATGTCTACATTTGGACCTGAAACATCCATGCTTCCCTTTGGAAGACTGACATCCACATCAGGCACTTCACCTTTCACGCCAAACTTGGGCAATTTCATCTTTGGCATTTTGAGTTCAGGTCCGTGAAGTTCGACATCTGGTGTTCCAATGTCCAATTTGGGGCCCTTGATGTCCACAGCTGGGCCCTTTAATTCTCCTTCCACTTTGGGGATTGAAACATCAACACCCCCCTTGACTTTGGGGCCTTTCAGATTCATGTCAATGTCTGGCATGGATATTTGGGGGGCCCCCTTGACTTTGGGGCCTTTCAGATTCATGTCAATGTCCGGCATGGATATTTGAGGGGTCTTAACATGCATTTCTGGCATCTTGACATGGGGGCCCTTCAGTTGTCCTCTAGGACCTTTGATATTGAAGGTGGGAGCTTCAATGTCTACATTTGGAGCTGAAACATCGATGCTTCCCTTTGGAAGACTGACATCCACATCAGGAACTTCTCCTTTCACGCCAAACTTGGGCAATTTCATCTTTGGCATTTTGAGTTCAGGTCCGTGAAGTTCGACATCTGGTGTTCCAATGTCCAATTTGGGGCCCGTGATGTCCACAGCTGGGCCCTTTAATTCTCCTCCTACTTTTGGAATGGAAACATTGACACCTCCCTTGACTTTGGAGCCTTTCAGATTCAGGTCAATGTCTGGGATGGAAATTTGAGGAGCCTTAACATGCATTTCAGGCATCTTGACATGAGGACCCTTCAGTTGTCCTCCAGGGCCTTTGATACCAATGTCAGGTGCAGCTATGTCTACTTTGGGGCCTTTTAGATCCATCTGGGGCCCCTTGAGGCCGCCTTCTATCTTTGGCACAGAAACAGCCACATCGCCCTTTAGGTTTGGCCCTTGGACATTCAAGTCCACATCTGGCACAGTGACTTTTACTGGTGATGTTTGCATGGACGGCATTGAGACTTTTGGACCTTTCAGATCAACGTTGGCAGTTTCAATATCTAGTTTGGGACCCTTAATATTCATTCCAGGCCCTTTTAAGTGGCCTTCCACCCTTGGCCCTGAAATGTCCATGGCGCCTTTCCCTTTAGGGCCCCTGAGATTCAAGTCAACATCTGACATAGAAATTTGGGGTGTCTGACCAGCTATTTCAGACTTGCCATATCTGGGTCCTTTCACGTGTGTTTCAAGGGTCACGTCAGGAGCTTGCAAATCCACTTTAGGTCCTGAGATGTTAAGTCCCCCTTTTGGAACAGTCACAGTCACTGCAGGGTCTGGTGCAGAAAATTTAGGAAGTTTCATGTGGGGTATTTTAAGTTTTCCTTCGCCCCCTTCAAGACCGACATCTGGAGCCCCAAGATCCACCGAAGGCCCTTTGATATCCACCTTGGGGCCTTCCAATGTTGGAGAGGTGGTCTTCAGGGCACCCTTCAAGTCCACACCTTTCAGGCCCACGTCCATCTGTGGTTGTGGAATTCCAGGTTCTCCCATGGCCCATTTGGAGCCTTTCAAGGACACTTCTGGGCCTTTTATTGAAGCCGATGGAGCAACTGCATCAAGCTGAGGAACATCAACATCAGAAACTGAAGAGGATATACCAAATTTGGGCATTTTCATTGCAGGAAACGCCACCTTTCCTGTGCTTCCAGTGTTGATATCTGGAGATTTAATGTTGCCTTCGACACTGGCACTGGGGATGTCCACTTTTGGACCTTTCAGATCACCTTGAATTTGGGGTCCCAAAATACCAACTGAAGGACCCTTGAGGTGGGGCAATGATAAATCAGCTTGCAGCCCTCCCACATCACCTTGGATTTTACCCCGACCTCCTTTCCCATTCACTTCCGGCGTTGTAACATGGAAACCAGCTTCCTGGCCTCCTGGTATAAAGTCAGTCTGGGTTCTCAGATCTACACCTGTGACATGAGGCCCAAATATTCGAATATCAGTTTTCCCAACCTTAGGCTGTTCCATGTGGATGCCAGGAACACCAAACTCCAACCTCTGAGAGGGTGACTCAATAGTTGGTCCGGTATACGTAATGTCAGGTCTTCCTCTCACCCCAGCGTGGGAGTCTGTTATCTGGGTAGCTGTTCTCCCTGACAAGTCAACGTGTGGGATCTTGATGACAGTTTTCCCAGGTTCTGTTTCAATCTCAGCTTTGGAAATGTGGGTGAGTTCATGTTTTGGAATCTTGATTTTAAACTCCGGGCTGCTGATGTCAATCTCTTTGGCTCCCTCATGACCTGTGACGTCGACAGTGTAAGCAGTAACTCTCTTGGTGACTGTGATGGTTCTGCTTTGGGTTCCTGTGTGCTCAACTTCCATGCCATCTTCCGATTTAAGGCGAGGCTTGATTTTTGTGGTATAAATCCGTTTGTACTCTTCGTCATCTCCGCTCTGGAACAGAGAGGAATGAGTTGTTACTGTCAACGGTAGTCTAAACATAAAATACTGATATCTACACCTATCAGTCTATCACATCTAAATCCACAAGTGCAGTATGGATTGAAGCACATACAGAAAGTGGCTGTCGCTTGTGGACAGTTGAAGAGGCCTTACTTCTCTGCAGGGCTTTTTTCCCAAATAAAAAATTAAAATTCCTGCACATAGAAAGCAAGATATCAGCAAAATCAACAACACTGTAGCCTTGCCTCTCTCCTTGATAATTTGTTTTCCACATGCAGATAATTTTGTAGTGCCAACCAGTAACATAAGGCCTCACCCACAAAACTTGAAGTGATACAGCCCAGACATGGGATGATCAACTCTGAAATACCGTATTTTTTGCACCATAGGGCGCAATGGACCATAGGGCGCACCCAGTTTTTAGGGGGGGAAATCAAGAAAAAAAATCTCCCCCCCCCAGCCCCAAAGAGCAGCGTACAGGCTGCGCACAACCTCTCCCTGCCGGAGGGGTTGCGCGCAGCTATGGAAGAAGCCAAGGCAGCGAGCGGGATGGATCCCGCTCGCTGTTTTGGCTTCCCCTTTAGCCCCGTGCAGCCTCTCCTTGCCGGGAGACGCTGCGCAGGGCTAAAGAATCCATAGCCCCATGCAGCCTCTCCCTGCCGGAGGGGTTGCACGCAGCTATGGTGCAAGCCAAGGCAGGGGGCGGGATGGATCCCACTCGCTGTTTTGGCTTCCCCTTTAGCCCCGTGCAGCCTCTCCTTGCCGGGAGACGCTGCGCAAGGCTTTCCTGGCTTTCCTGGGAGGTGGGGGGATTCCCTCACGTCTCGCAAAAGCCCGCAGAAGCCGCGCAACCCCTTTAAAGAGATTGCGGCTTCTCCTGGCTTTTCTGGGAGGTGGGAGAAGGGACTGATGCGGCCAGTCAGTCCCTTCTCCCTCCTGTGGAAAAGCCCGCAAGAGCGCACGGAGCTTGTGTGCGGCTCTTGGCGGCTTTTCCCGCCTGCCTCCCCCTGCATTCGCTCCATAGGACGCACACACATTTTCCCTTGCTTTTTAGGAGGGAAAAAGTGCGTCCTATGGTGCGAAAAATACGGTAATTTGTTCTGCTTCAAATAACTAATGCGAGGATATTCATTTCACTTTTAATTTTTATACCGCTTTTTTATATTACCATACACAAGGCGGTTTATAAGTTGAAGAAACAACAAAATAGACAGCAAAGATCACACACCTAGTAACAATCTGATCCAATACCAAAAAAAGTCATAATAAAAAACATAACTTTAAAATAAACAACCAGTGTCCCCCCGGGTGCAGCTGAACTACAACTCCCATCATCCCTGATTATACTGGCTGGAACTGTTGAGGGTCCAACAAGTTACCTGTCCCTGAACTCACCTTTTGGTACCTGCCCTCAACTCCTTAACTGATTGCATTTGTAAATTTGATAAAAGTCTTCCTCTGGTGTCCTGGAATATCCAAGGCGCCACAGGTGTATGGAAAGAGCCAGGTCCCAAGTTACCCCAGGCCCACCCTTAGATCCTTCCTCCATCATCTACAGAAGGCAGTCCTCTCCACGATGATGCTCACTCACCAAAACAACCTCTGGACTCCTTGAGGCAAAGACATCATGGGACCAAGACTGTCCTGGCAATGGAGACCGGTCGCCTTTCCTCTGCAGCCGAAGGCCAACAGTGTGGTGGCCCACGTTCTTCAGGAGCTCTGTGACTTCCCCGGACTGCAGGTTGTCGAAGTAGATTGTGGCACTCACGATCTGATCCCCTGAGGGGGGTGGGGGTGGGATTAAGAACATTAAGAAAAAGCCCTGCATCCACACTGGCCAACCAGAGCCTCTGGGAAACCCGCACCATAGGGCAGGAGCTGTTGTTTGCTCCCCAGCAGCTGGTATTCAGAGACAGACTGCCCCTAAACTTGGAGGCTCCAGTTAGCTGTCATGGCTAGCAGCAGTTGATAAACCTATTGTCCTCCATGAATTTATCGAAAAGCCAGCCCATTTTAAGAAGATAAATGAACTAGTCCATGATGTGCTGTGTGTAGAGCTGCTTCATATTTTTTTAATTATTATTTTTGTCTCTCCTAAACCTAACATATCTGATATTAAGAGAGCCCAGGTGAATGCAAAATGTCCCGAGGGGATAGCTTGCCGACGTGGGCTGAGCAAAGTTCTGCAGCCCTTACCCTTCTGTTTTTAATTTATTTTTTCCCATTTCTATCACACTCTCCAAAAATAGCACATTAGGCCAGTCCTTTGTCACAGGTCCCATCTGCACGACGCTTTTAAAGCAGCATCATAGGAATCCTGGGAACTTCAGTATGTTAAGGGTGCCAAGAGTTGTTGGGAGACCCCATTCCCTTCACAGAGCTACAACTCCCAGAGGTTTCTGGGAAGAGGGGTAAACTGCTAAACCACTCTGGGAACTGTAGCTCTGGGGTGGGGGAATCGGGGTCTCTAAACACCCTTCAGCACCATCAACAGACTGCAGTCCCCAGGATTCTCTGCAGGAAGCCGTGACTGTTTAAAGTAGTACTGTAGTGCTTTAAAAGTATGGTGCGGATATGGCGCATGTGACTCTTCAAGATGTCATGGGGGACTCTTTGTGACCATAAAGAGGATGCCCTCTGGTGGCTTTAAAAGTTGATGATGAACAGGGGGGGGGAGGTGGCTTCTCTGCCCCCGCCCAGACCACCCCTCATAAACCACCTCACTGACCTTCTTTCACAATGCCTGCTTTGGCAGCGGGTGAGTCCTGTTGAACCTGTTTCACGAAAACGCCTTCGTTCGTCTGGTCGATGGTAAGTCCGCGAGAGCCAATGCCTTCCCAGTCGGGGAGCAGAATCTCCCGGGTCTCTTCTTCCTCCTTCTCCATCTTAAGGAAGTAAGGAAGGAAGTGTGTAAATAGGAACTCAAGAGGCTGTGCATAAAAAGTAGAACTCCTGCTCAAATTCTGCACCTCAAAAGGTTGAAGTATGCAACAGGCTTAGTCTATTTCAGAAAATGCATTTTGCTCTATCATATTTTCATCCCAATCTTGCTCCAACAATCTCAGGGCAGTTATATAAGGACATAAGATGATCTTGCAGTATCAGGCCAAAGGTGGTCCATCAAGCCCACAATCCTGTTCTCACAGTGGCCGACCAGAGGCTTGTGGGAAACCTGTTAGCAGGATTCGAGCACAAGTCCTCTCCCCTCCTGTGGTTTCCAGCAACTGGTATTCAGAAGCATTGGTGCCTCCAAATGTTTAGTTGAGATGCCATTATCCACACAACAGCCTGGTGAGGTTGGTTACATCAATGGCCATTTGCCCCAAGATGACCCACCAAGTTGCTGGACTGAATTGCTGTGTTCCAAATCCAATGCTCTACCCTGTGCTGCACATAGCTCCTCTCCAGGACTAGGAGATCTGGATAAATACAGCACAGTAGTACCACTGCTTTACTACTAAAGAATAGACTGAATCACCTTTCTAGGACTTTGGTCCAGGCCGGAACCGCCCCAGGAATTCCCTTCTCGTCACTTGCCAATCCTTTGGTAATGTTTCTTCCAACTTCCCAACCTAGAAGAGAAAACAAAACAAAGCCTTGTTGGTGAAAGAGAACTTGCCATGTCCAGGCGTTGTGTTTGATGAATCCTCGTCAAGCGCAGGGGATGGGGAATCTGAATTCTGTGGGGAGAAGAACTGGGGTCCCTGAAATTATGAGCTATCCCCACACACCTTTAAGGAAGTCCCCATTCCAGGGATGGGGAACCTGTGACCCTCCTAGACATTAAAGTAAAGGTAAAGGGACCCCTGACCATTAGGTCCAGTTGTGACAGACTCTGGGGTTGCGGCGCTCATCTCGCTTTATTGGCTGAAGGAGCCGGCGTACAGCTTCCGGGTCATGTGGCCAGCATGACTAAGCCGCTTCTGGCGAACCAGAGCAGCGCACAGAAACGCCGTTTACCTTCCCGCCGGAGCGGTACCTATTTATCTACTTGCACTTTGACGTGCTTTCGAACTGCTAGGTTGGCAGGAGCAGGGACCAAGCAACGGGACCTCACCCCGTCGCGGGGATTCGAACCGTCGACCTTCTGATCGGCAAGTCCTAGGCTCTGTGGTTTAACCCACAGCGCCACCCGCGTCCCTAGACATTATGAGACCACAATTCCCAGCATCACTGCCATCCCTCGTGGCTGGTGCAAACTGGAGTCACAAGGCATCTGCAAAGCCACAAGTTCCCTCACCCCTGCTCTGTTTGCAAAAGCAGGTTCCAAAGAATGTCAGCAATGCCTTTCGAAGTTTATAGGATGGTGAAAGTAGGTTTGTTGAGAGGAAGAATCAGAACTATTTTCAAAAGCTAACGAGGAATGCTGCTTTCGCGTTCCACTTGGCGAAATTGTTCTCTGTGGCGTACATATTTCTACACCAACTGCCGCCCATCACAAAAAGATGTCCCTTTAATTGCCAAATAAAACAACATACTAGGAAGGGTATACGGAGAGTATTCGGCGCAGCTGATGTTTATACCCACTTAAGAACTGCCTTGCTCAATCTGGCTGGTTCGGTAATCTGTGTCCAGAAAGTGGCCATCTGGGTGCCTGTGGGGAAGGTGTCTAGGAGTCCCCGCCACCTGGCATTCAGAACTACTGCCTCTAAACATGGAGGGTCCATTTATGTATCACTCCCTCTGTCTGCGATGTTCAGGCTTATGTAGGCAAAATAGTATCACCCCAGCAGGCTCGGGGGAAACCTGCAGAATTCTTTAGGGATGGAAACCCCTAAGGAGGACGAAACCTCAAAACCAGCTCAATAAGAGCATGCATAAAATTATCAAGGCGGCTTACAACAGAATATGTGAGTACGCTAAAACATGAAGTGCCATAAAAACAATGCGAAATAATTATTAAGATGATTATATAATCAGCGGAGGGGGGATATTTTTGGTTACTCCCTCTGTTATCTCTATATTTTCCCACACTCAAATCATTTTCCCCCCGAACTAAAAATCCACCCCCTTGATCCATTTGCTGCCCTTTACTCATTCCTTTCCAAAATTATAACCAGGACCAAGACATTTCACTGTCTCAAGTAGCTTACAAATGGCGTCACACACACACACACACACACACACACACCCCGTTTTAGAAGTCTTGCTGCAACCCTTAGACACTAATTCCTGCTTTTCATCTATTTCCCTGCCTCCCTTTGTGTTGCCGCCTGAGGCACCTTGATTCACCCTGGGGCATGGCAGGGCTGGTGCTGACTATAAGAAGAACATAAGAAGAGCCAATGGCCTGTCTTAATCCAACATCCTGCCTCTCGCAGGGGCCACCCACCCCGCAAACAGGACCTGAGCACAAGAGCACTCTCTCCTTCTGCAGTTGCCAGCAGGTGGCATTCAGAAGCACTGGTGGAGGCAGAGCACAGTCGCCATGCTCTGAGATGGGGCGCAAGAACACTGACCTGTTTCAGAGCCAGCAATACCACATCGCTTAAGCACGTGTAAAAGGCTGTATTGGAAAGGGAAGAGAGACAACTGCTCCCTTCCCTTACCCCCTTCCTTCCTCTTCTCCTCGGGCAGCACTTCTTCCTTGTGAGCCTGTGCACACTTCTGCCTCGGCTGAGCATGCTACATGCCAGCCACAGCCCCTCCCACAGCCCGAGCATGCAAGGCATGGTACATATGCCGGCAGGAATGCGAAGCCTGTGTTCTCCCTACCCCTGGACTCTAAAAGGAGGAACCTTCCAGGGCACAAGCCGCATTGCAACGCAAGGAAGCAGTGAGAATCATCGAAACCTGTAGAAGCCAAGGAGTTAATAGGCAAGCAGGTTTAGCTCAGCAGCAGAGAACATGGCTTGCCTGCAGAAGGTCCCGGGTTCAATCCTTCCTCAAAAGGACCAGGTGGCAGATGGTGGAAACATTCTCCTCTGCCCAAGACCCTGGAGATACTTGGCTCAACAGTAGATCAAAGTGGGGCTTCCACATTCAGGAACAGTCTAGCTCTGAGTGCCAGAAGCTCCCAGATCAAATGAAGGGTTTGCTGAGGTTTTTTTGTAGCCCTGATTTCTGCACGCTGTCAAAATCCTAAAATGTATTGTGCTTTTAGCCTTCATTTGTTGCAATTTGCTTACTCTAGTACAATCTCTTTTCTTAATGGTTCATTAATATATGCTGCTGCCTTATAGAATGAGCCGGTAGGGTTTCAGGCAGGGAAAGGTCCTCCCCATCACCAGCTACCCGAAATCCTTTTGGTGGGGGTGCTGACACTGTGGCCTTCTGCATGCTAAGCTCTCATGCTGCAGACTCTCCCTTGAAGCATAGGAGGCTGCCTTATTCCAAGTCTGTCTCTTTGTCCATCTGGCCCAGCTCTGACTGGCAGCCACTCTGAAAGAGAGATCTCAGGCAGAGACGAGTCCTTCGCACCACCAGGGATTTGAACCTGGGACTTTGTCCATGAAAAGCATGAGCTACGGTCCCTCCTTGCGCAGGTAGACTTCCCCTTGGTGGAATTGGACCTTCATTTAAAAGATGCAATACCATTTATCAGCGGAGTGGAAAGGACTTGTTATGCAGGAGAAGGAGAAGAAAGGACAGAGCACAACTGGACATGTTGCATAAGTGTTTTTAAAGGGTGCAGCCAGGGGGCAGCCATGCCTTCACGATCGATGCTTTGCAATGCTCTGGCTCCCATACCCAATCCCAGCTCAAACGCCCCACCTTCCACGCGGAGACCGTGCCAACTTTCAGCGAAGCAACAAGAGGGGAAAGTTTTCCACTTCCAAACAGCTACAGACATGCATGCTCAGGTCATGCATGAAACCTGATCAGCCCAGACAGGAGGAGGGGAGTCTGCAGAAGAGGCTCCCCCTGACATCAGCTCCTGGCCCTAACTGGAGAGTCTTCACAAGCCAGCATTTGAACTGGGAACAGGACACAAGCACTCACCCACCCCTCACAAGACGGCAAACGACATATCCAGGCTTGTTTCCTTAATCTCTGTGGTCTTGTGGACTCCACCAGCCCCCAGTTACAGAGAGGAAAACAACTTCTCACAACAACCATCGCTGGCCAAGTGTGCCCACACACAGGCTGAAGAAAGCTGCTGGAACAAGTGTGGTCTATTGGGAGTAAAGGTAAAGGTAAAGGTACCCCTGCCCGTAGGGGCCAGTCTTGACAGACTCTAGGGTTGTGCGCTCATCTCACTCAAGAGGCCGGGGGCCAGCGCTGCCCAGAGACACTTCCGGGTCACGTGGCCAGCGTGACATCGCTGCTCTGGCGAGCCAGAGCCGCACACGGAAACGCCGTTTACCTTCCCGCTAGTAAGCGGTCCCTATTTATCTACTTGCACCCGGAGGTGCTTTCGAACTGCTAGGTTGGCAGGCGCTGGGACCAAACAACGGGAGCGCACCCCGCCGCGGGGATTCGAACCGCCGACCTTTCGATCGGCAAGCCCTAGGCGCTGAGGCTTTTTACCCACAGCGCCACCCGCGTACCTGGTCTATTGGGAGACCAGCGTTCAAATCCCCACCCCACCCTCCATCCATTAAGATCACAGGGTTGTTATGGAGATAAATTGGGGAGGGACAGAAACATCTATGCCCCCATGAGCTCCTTGGAGGAAAAGCTAGGATATGAATGCAATCAGTCAATAACTAAAAGAGGGAATCTGTTTGCAATGTCTGGAAATGTCTCTGAAGCCAGAAGGTTAGAAGAACTCACCATCCCTTCCTCCCACAAAACATAGGGAATTCTGTAAAAGCACAGACACTGCAATCAAGTTGTGGAAATGGGCTGTCTGTGGTTGGTCAAGCACCAAGCTTGCTTGGTTTCCTAAGTACACACGGCTCTTTCCTCTTTGCCTTTTATGGGTTGGGTTCCTTCATAAGGCAAAGTAAAAAAAAATTAAAATCCATATCCCATTACAAGATTATTTTTTTTAAGACAATCAACCGGGGGGTGGGGTATCAAATTATGGACAATGGGTCACGGTAACCTGCATCACAATTTAGGCCATCCCAGAATCAATGCTATTTCATAGCCGTCTTTGCCATGCTTTCGCAACACCACTGATAGATAAGATAGGATGTCTTTATGTATGTATTTATCCATTCGATGCAGTGATGATCTCCAGCAGTCAATGTTGCCCTCCAGATTTTTGGGACTGCAGCTCCCCATAGTCCCAGCCAGCATGGCCCAAAAAATCTGAAGGGCATCAGGTTGTTGAAGGCTGAGCTTCAGCGAGTGCAACCTCTGAAGTCAGGCAAGATGGAGGAGGAAACGCCGCAGGATTCCAGACTACAGAAGCCAGCCAGAGGTGGGGCGGAGCTGCTACTTAAGATATTTCACCTCCATCTCTAAAGGCATTAGGGGATGGTCATGTCTTCAGGAATGCACTCCGCTGGTGCGCCTTTCAGATCCGGAAATTCCCAAATAATTACGATGACCCCAGAAGTGCTGTTTTTCTAGAAAACGTTCCAGCTGCAGACCAAGGAAAGCAGGCTTGCCAAAAATCCCCACCCCACATGTCAGGGATGGAAATATCATCCCACAAGCACACTTCTGCCTTTGGTTTTTC